AGCAGCTTGTCTGAAATTACACAGTAAAGCAGTGTGTGAGCCCTGGCAGCCTGAACCCCATGCCTTTAACCTCTGTTGTGATCTCCTGCTTTGCACATGCGTCCAGGGCTGAGGTACCCAAACCTGGCACAACCCTTTTGAAGAACAAAGAAGCCAAGGAAAACCTTTATGCACAAGAGCGACATAAAGATGTTCTCCATAATGGCAATTTTTCAGATGACCAATAGATAAATGGCTAAAATAATTATGATCCATCAACTCGATCGAATCCTCTACAGTCATTTAAAAGTGATAATTATGGAGATATATGAAACGCAGGGAAATGTCAATAATAGAAGTTAAAAGATTCAAAGCATACGTACACTGGGAAGTATGCAAAAATTACGTGTGCATAAAAACAAATTAAAAAGTAAAATTCAAAAATGATAATAGTGGTTAGAAAGTCATGGGGCAATTGGTGACGTTTTTCCTTCCAAATATTTTTGATGGTGTTTACAATCAAAAATAGCAATCACACACTCCCAAAACACATCCTAGGAACAAATGCAGGGATTCTTTTCACATCTTCTCGCAAGCTTCTTTCTGGAGGAGAGAGGTGGTGACTTTGTCCATTTACATGAGAAGTCAGTAAATTTTTAAAAAATTAGAAGGCAAGAAAATAATATACATGTTATGATTCAATATCACATAATGCACACACATCTAGATGGACGTAAGGTAGAATATCTATTGTGGCTATCTCTGGGTGGTGAGATTATATAGGAGATTCTTTTTTCTTCCTTATACCATTTTTGAACTTAGTGTTATATACAAGTATTCATTTTTAATAATACTTGTTAAAAGATCTGTACAGGTAAACTATCACTAAACTAAAATGCTTTAACACACTCTCGGTAATCAACTCCGTAATTTCATCAGAAAAATAGGACAGCTCTCCCATATTGTTTATTCTACACCCAGAATTTACTAATCCTGCTTTTGACTAGACTCCTCATATAATTACATCTTCTGCTGGTTCAAAATTATATATCTGATGGTTATATATCTTCTGCTGGTTCAAAATGATCAACTGAGAATATGTCTATCTACAGTTCATTTAAGAACCCCGTACTTTGCACATAGATCACTGACCAATGAATTCCTATCAAGAAGGAAATGCCAGGGGCGCCTGGGTGGCTTAGCTGGTCAAGCGTCTGACTTCAGCTCAGGTCATGATCTCACAGTTTGTGAGTTCGAGCCCCGTGTTGGGCTCTGTGCTGACAGCTCAGAGCCTGGAACCTGCTTCGAATCCTAGGTCTCTCTCTCTCTCTCTGCCCCTCCCCTGCTCACACTCTGTCTCTCAAAAATAACTAAACATTTAAAAAAATTAAAAAAAAAAGGAAATGCCATTCATCTTGACTTTATTAAAAGGATTTAAACAACTTTCCGCAAATAATACTTCTTACTGTGAACCTTAAAGCCTAACAGAAAAATACAAGCTTAGAAAGCTAGTCGAATTCCCCAGGAAGAGAATGATAAGAAAAATAATCCTAAATTATTAGGTAGAAATATGTGGTGTTAGTAGCAAAAATGAATCATTACTTTTCTTAAGTACTTCTAATACATTTTAAGTGTTTTATAAAAGAAACAGATACAATCTTGGTGAAATCTCAACATGGCTAGGAGACTGAGAAAAAGCAAAGATCAGAAGTCAGGAAAAAAAATGAATAGAAAAGTAGCAAAAATCAGAGTCAAAATTTAGAGTCCCTTAAGGGGAAAAAAATAATTCCATGATAGGATGAATTAGATTCTGAGTAAATTTTAAACCTAGCATAGTTAAGAAATGTCCGTAGGAATAAATAATACATAATAATGATCACGACATCTGCTATGAGGGTGTCAGGGCTATTAGGGAAGAAAGGAGAATGTTACAGGGCAGAAAAAAAAAACAAAAAAACAGTTACATTCGAAACTATTAACTGAAGCTCTGAAAAACTAGAAGCACTTTGTAGTTTTGGTTTTCAAATTTAGGCCTGTATGAAGGAATGGATGTTATCAACATCTCGTGTGTACTATCATATGAATATTAAAGTGAGGATCCAAGGTGAGAAAAGCCCTGAGCATTAGAAAACAGATTAATAGGGGCGCCTGCGTGGCTCAGTCGGTTAAACAACTGACTTTGGCTCAGGTCATGATCTCACAGTTCGTGGGTTTGAGCCCCGCGTCAGGCTCTGTGCTGACAGCTCAGAGCCTGGAGCCTGCTTCAGATTCTGTGTCTCCCTCTCTCTCTGCTCCTCCCTCGCTCGCATTCTGTCTCTCTCAAGAATAAGTAAACATTAAAAGAAAAGGGAGAAAAGCCTTCAAAAAAAAAAAAAAAAGAATGAAAACAGATGAATAGATTCATTATCTCAAATTTGATTGGCTAAAATTGATGGTCCCCAATCTCATCCTGGCATAAGTGTGGATCAGGGATAACTCATCACATTTTTCTTCCTCTCAGGAGTTATTAAATAGCATACAGAGACAATGAAGCCAGGCCATCCCTAAAGTCTCCTCTCTCTGGCCTGTGCCACGCACGATTTTTATTCTCTAAAGCCATTTCTTCCTCAAAAGAGCTCACCAAAGTCGTCATCCTTCCTATCAGCAGCCCCACTGGGCTCTAGTGAGTGACATCCAGACATTTAAACTCAAAAGCTGCTTCAGAAGGGAGTTATTAAAATTCAAATGAGCTGGGCATATTGAAGAAGAAAACACTCGTTTGCATGCACACCTCCGCATTTGGCCACCCCATTTAGACCCATAGAGCAGGGTCTGGTTTTGTTTTTGTAAATGGGCTTCGGAGGCGGAGGTCAGCCTCCCACGGCCCCCACTCCTCTGGGGTCATCGTTAGTAATGTGTAAGGCTGAATAGATTTTCCTCTGAATCTAGTCAGCAAACCTGACAAGAAGGCAGCCCTCTCCCACAACCTGAAAATGCCCAAAATCTGATTGGTAGCATGGCATTTTTAATACTTCATTTATCTGTCTGAAAATAGCTTTCAGCAAGATTGCAAATCACATCACTGATGCCAGTTCCACCTGATTTTTCAATTTTAGAGCAGAATATTTCCTGTTGTGCCTTGACTGTGTAACACAGAAATGTTATGTTTGACCAAGAATTTCCCACAGGATTCAGAGAAAACTCATGTCTGCTAAGAAATATGGATCTGGGGAGTCAACATGACATTTTATTCACTAGAAAAGGAGTATCTGTCATTTTATCTTAAGAATTTTTATTTTATTTCTCATGGAAATATCTCACATCATCATCATTTAAAATTTTTATAAGATACCAGGGAGCAAACTAAGAAAAATGAGCCAAAATATGTATTCCAAAAATTATTCTAGCCATGGAAATTTAGACGCTCCTTTAGTAAGAATTCAATTTCTTACTAATGAAGACATGTCTATTATGAGATCTAATATAAAGAGACTTAGTTTATGACGATATAAACAGTGAACTCTACATTACGCATAATATATTACATGACTATATCCAAATATATTACGTACAACAATGACATAACAATTTATCTATTTTTCATAAGGGTATACAAAAGCAGTTAGACTAACTCATGACCCTAAAATAATAGTACAATCTCTTGAACTCGAGGAAGCAAAGGAATTTATCTCTGAACTATGAAGCCAGTTGAAATCTGGCAACTCCTGGGATTACTGTACCCGGTGGGAAATCAGACGACATGACCTTTAATGTCCTTTCCAACAGTAAGATTTTACTCTTCCCTGACCTTCATTAATCAAACTCGCTTCCTCCAGATTTCTTCATTTGAATTTAAAAACTTTATTTTCCCCTAAAATTGGAATGGTTTTGCCCAGAATGACCTAACCAGGCCAGGCAAAAGAGAAAGTAGCAAATAGTATCAATGAAAGAATATTACATCAATGAAACGGTTTCCTAAGCTGAGATATTTTCTAGTGAGATATTTTCTCTCACAGCATTGAAGAGTATGTGTATCAGTAAAGAGCATTTATTTTTAAGACTTATATGGCATTATTCTGACTTCAGTCAAAAACAGAAGGCACTTGGAGCACCTCAGTGGGTTAGGTGTCTGACTCTTGATTATGGCTCAGGTCATGTTCTCATGGTTTGTGAGATCAAACCCCACAATGGGCTCTGTGCTGACAGAGTGTAGCTTGTTTGGGATTCCCTCTCTCTCTCCCTCTCTGTCCCTCCCCTACTCGTTCTCTCTCGAAATAAATGAAATAAACATTTTTTAAAAAGGCACTCAATCTCTGTCTTCAGGTTGCTTGTGCTCTAATGTGGGTGGCAGCAATAAAGGACCACAACGGGACAAGGCACCTGGGTGGTTCAGCCGGTTAAACATCCGACTCTTGATTTGGGCTCAGGTCTTTGTGGGATCCAGCCCTACACTGGGCTCCACGCTGACGGCACAGAGCCTGCTTGGGATTCTCTCTCCCCCCCCCCTCTGTCCCTCCCCCATGCGCATGCACACTCCTTCTCTCCAAATAAATACACATTAAAAAAAAAAATCACAAAGGAACAAATGTTTGCGGAGAAAAAGAACACACGCTAAAATGAGGAACTAGAGCCAGTGATCCCAACAACAAAGACTGATCATTCAAGGTTCAGGGAGAAGGCGTACTTCCTAGTCAGGTCCCAGGTGTGTTTCCTCTTTTATGGTCACACCCATTCGAAATCGACAAGAAAAGAAATGTACATTCATATTTTTGAAAAAGCCAAATGAAAGTTTAAGGTCTTCACAGATTCCCTGCTCCCCCCTGCCCCCACAACCCCCAAGGTCAAATACGATTACACAGAGTGTATGTTTACATACCACCTTAGCGGAGTTGGTCTCCTGGTCATTTCTGTTGCAAAGATGGTCTCGCAGAGGAAAATAGCCACTCCTTCAGATTTGTTATTAATTCTACAGAAGCAGGCTCAGGGCACACAAACCCACTGCGTAGAAAGAGTGATAAAATTCGAGAACCATGCTCACTTGCCTTTTTTTCCTCCTGTAATGAAGAAGCCAATGGCTGCTCTAATAAAACTGCTCTCGGGCAAATAGCTATAGTCGGTAGGAACTGTGGAGACAGAAAATGATCAAATTAACCAGTGAACTCGGTGGGACTAATGAAGGAAAGATAATGATCTCATGCTGCCATATCAACCTAGAGATAAAGCGGAGATGTTTATGCCATTAATCTCAGCACAATACTCTGTGGTTGCAACTAATTCTATTAGATTAAGTGACTGGCCTTGAAGTAATCACTTAGGCTACGCAAGCCAATCTAAAATGGGTGGTAAACCTAATAGAGACTGAAAAATCACAGGGGATGAAAACTTTACTGATGCGGTTAAAAAAAAAAAAAATCCTTTCCAGGGGCGCCCGGGTGGCTCAGTCAGTTGAGCGTCCACCTTCAGCTCAGGTCATGATCTCAAGGTTCATGAGCTCGAGCCCCGTGCTGGGCTCGATGCTGTCAGCACAGAGCCCATTTCAGATCCTCTGTCTCCCTCTCTCGCTGCCCCTCCTGCACTTCCACTCTCTCTCAAAAATGAAGAAACATTAAAAAATATATATATTTTCCACATGTTCACATCAATGAGCCCCGTCCAGTTAGCCTCAGCGTCAGCAAGGAGTCTGCTGGGCTTCGAGGCTGAGACTGCCATGCTAGGAGCAACTTCAGGACATTCAGAATCAGATATATGAACCATGGAAACACAACCATCAGTAATAACAGCGGCCCGTCTCTTACTTCATAAAGCAGGGACCTCTAAGTGACCAACACGTGTGAATAACCAGATGTGGCTGCTGACCTGGAACAGTGAAGCAGTGACTTTTATGCTGGTTGAGTCTGGGGAGTTTCCTAGATTCTTTTCCTCCCCATCCCCCCTAATTGTTTCATGAGATGGTTTTCACCGCAACAAATGGCTCGACTGGAAAATTCCAACAGGAACATGCCGCTGTACTTTTCCAGACACACAGTCATTTCGTTTCAAAGAACCCGGGTAGAAGATGATTCACTGCCACCTGACTTGAGTATATGTGGGCCAGAGCACGTAACCCATAACGTAACAATTAAAAGTCTATGTAAAAAAGCAAAAGCCTGACGGAAACTTGCTATTTTACCAGGGCATTATGAGAACACTGCCCTTCAAAACCAGCATTACCTAAGGTTTCTGCTATGACTAAGTTTTTGGTTTTTTTTTTTCTTTTTTCCCCATTTAACATGACAGCTTCCGGCTGTCTTGAGTTCATTATATTGGGAGCGCTGCAGAACCATGTCCTATTTCTACAGCTAAGGAGTGATTGAAAGCGAGGGAAACAGTAATTACAGTGCTACATGTTCATGGTGATGCTGTCCGCAGACTACCTGTCAGGGGATACGCGAAACTAGGTTTTAATGAGAAATCTTTGGTAGCTAAACCTCTCTGGCCTGGGTCCAAGAGAGCCAGGGGGTCAAAATTCTATAAAGAGCAAAGAGCAGATTTAGGTCCCCGTGTAGTGCAGTGATGCCTTCCTCGGAAAACCTCCAAGTGCAAACATACATTAGGCCGGTGAGAACTGCAAATATTTTTTTACTGCTTTTCTCCAAAAAATGGAAATAGAAAAGGAAAAAAAAAAAACTCTTGTTATGTTAAGAGCTAGGATTTCAATTTCAAGGCCAAGTTCATACACACCTTTGAACGTACTTACCCCACTATTTTCTTGAAAACAGGGCCCAGAAGAAATCCAGTCATATATGAAGAGGCTTTCAGTGAAACTGGAGTATTACGCAAAGTGTAACTCCATAAAGTAAAAATAAAAAGAACTCTCTTCCAAGCCTCAAGGACCTGGTGCCTACTCCCTAGATTTGTCACCATGCTAACGCCACTTGGAAGTCATGTAATCTTTCTAAGCCTCAGCTTGCTTTGTGAAATACGGGGTTAGGCTGAATGTCTAATCTCCTCTCTGAGGGAGGCAGAGAGGAAGAAGGACGAAAGCCTGGGCTGGGGAAGCCAAGCGATGGCAGGTCAGCTGTGTCTACAACTTACGGCCACGTGATCCTGAGCAAGCCAGGAAGCCTCTCCACAGAGCATTCTCTCCTGATGTAAAATAGGGATGGTAACAGCCACCACTTACGGTGGCTGCAAAGATTAATGCTGTTAACAAAGTACATGGCCTCCAGTCAGCAATCCCTCCTTCCAGCTCCAGTGTTGTAAGAGTCCAGCCTTACCGGAGGTCCTACTTTGACTCGAGGACAGAGTAGACAGATGAAGATGGCCCAGAAGCCAGAGCGCATTTGACTGAAGACCAATCACTCCAGACACGCTGATGACCTATGGATGGAAACGTGACAGTGCAATGATGGGGCAAGATCCAAACTCCACTTAATAAAAGGTCACTCATAGAAAGTCGTTTATCTTTAACGAGGTGGTAGCTTGTCTGGTAATGACAAGCTCTATGACAAGTTGTAAGGTCACATGCATAGTCTTCTAAACCCTGGACATACAGCTGATCAACAACTATTGCTGAATTAACGAATCAATCAGTCAAACATGATAGGAGGTAGCATTGGTGGTCTCAGGTTTCACTGAGTCAGCTGGTCTCAAAGGAATATTTTTTTTTTATTAAAAAAAAAATTTTTTTTTAATGTTTATTTTTTGAGACAGAGAGAGACAGAGCATGAATGGGGGAGGGGCAGAGAGAGAGAGGGAGACACAGAATTGGAAGCAGGCTCCAGGCTCTGAGCCATCAGCCCAGAGCCTGACACGGGGCTCAAACTCATGAACCATGAGATGGTGACCTGAGCTGAAGTCGGACGCTCAACCGACTGAGCCACCCAGGCGCCCCTCAAAGGAATATTTTTAAAAAGGAAAAAAAGTCCCGAGAGTGGGGAAAAAAAAAAAAGGTGTTAGTTATTTAAGAATAAAATACCTTTAAGGATGGAAGGAGATGTTATTTTGTCCTCTAAGTAATGTTCTATTACTGCTTTATCACTCATCATAAGGATTTTGTTCAGTAAGAGTTTTCATTTACCGGTTTTTCTCCCAAGTAGAGCAACTTAAGTTTCAGCATAATTCTTTTCTTGAGAATTGTATTCATACATTGAGAGAGTTTCTTCTGTTTAGAGATTTATGTTTGCTTTAAAAAATTTTTTTTGAATGTTTGTTTATTTTTGGAGGAGAGAGAGACAAGAGCGTGAGTGGGGAGGGGCAGAGAGAGAGGGAGACACAGAATCCGAAGCAGGCTCCAGGCTCCGAGCTGTCAGCACAGGGACCGACGTGGGGCTCGAACTCACGAACCGCAAGATCATGACCTGCGCCGAAGTCGGATGCTCAACCGACCGAGCCATCCAGGCGCCCCAGATTTATGTTTGCTTTTAAAAGCACAAATCACTAAAACTTGTTTATGTGGTAGGTGTGATATTCAGCTGTATTTTACAGTAATGAGAAAAAGTATGCTAAATGAAAAGACTACTTGAAAAGGCCATCTACAAAGTTCTATATGTACTAAGAATGCCAATTATGCAAAGGAACTAAGAATTCTTGAAAAGATTTATGACCAATTTTTACAAACACTTGCTTCTAGTTGTGAGGACCACCAGTGATATTTTTTTCAGCTTCTTTCATTCTGTACTTTCACATTCGACGCAATGAAATTAGTACATTTTTAAAAGTAAAAATCTTAAAATATAAAATTATTTTGCAGCCGATGAACAGACTCGTTCTCTAGCCAAGAATGCTGACAATGATTTACCCAAATAGTTTTATCAGTTACATGTGAACTAGTGCCTCTTGACCATTCTACTTCGACACGGGCCCTTCCTTTGGTCACCCTCCATTTTACTTTGTCCTTAGGACCTAACACTCCTTGCAGGGTCAGGTTTTAAGTTTTAAAGGAAACCAATGCCAACTCAAGTTAGATCAAACACGACCACTTTTTCTCCAGAGGCAGTGGGTGTTTGTTGGCAAACACAGGGGCATAAGCCACTCTCAAACGCTGCTTGGACTCAATGTGAATGACCAGAGATCTCCCCATGTTTCAAGCAAAAGTCTGTATCATCAGAGAAAGGCAATAAAAGGGAGTATCCATTTTCCCATCCACGGACTTTAAATCCCTCTTCTCACCTGAGTTACAGTTTTAATGACTTCATTAAGTCTGGCTTGAAAATGAGAGGTCTGGATGGCTTCTGCCTTCAGCTGAAAGAAAAAGAAATACCCACTCCAACATTCCCCAAAAAGTAAACGATGGTATTCGCAGTGTATGAGCTATCATCTTCTAAGCTATGCTATAATTTGCCATTGCGTCTTTATATCTCAAAAACAAAAGCTATGGGCTCCTTGAGGGGAGGGCCCAAGCTGTATTCATCATCGATTTCCTGGAACCAGTTCCGTAGCACTCACTTAACACACCTTCACTGTACAGACACGGGTGCTCCTTAGAATTACTTGTTAACTGAAACATACATGCGTCCACTGTGGACGTAATATACTAGATAGAAACTTAAACATCACAGATACAAAACGGAGTTTCTTATGGATGACTTAAATTTCTGACGATCTGGTCACTTTTCTCGAGCAGGGAACTTTGTGGAAAGTACATAAGCTAAGTTTAATTCCTATACACCAGATACAAAAAGGGAACAAATCTCTAACAACAAATTCTTAACCCAGAGCGATTTTCTATACATCAAGGCACTGAAAAGCCCAGTACAACCATTACTGTGACCATGTATTCTGTCCTTAGCATACTGAGATACTGGGCATGCTCCTCTTGCCGTGGCTATGTACACATTCAGATTCTTCCCTTCTTTTGTTGTTTTTACCTGCATTACATCCCCTTCAGAGCCCACCAAGGCCACCATGCCATGAAGAGCTGCAAGACAGAGCATTGTCGGAGTGCCCTGGAAACAAAGCATCGGATAGGTCAAGAGGCAAACGGTCCTTGGGTTTGAATTCTAAAAAAACCTTTTCTATCACAGAGAAATACGGGTCAAAATGGTACTAAATTTGTAGGGTCAACATAACCCGTATCCCTAAACCAAAAACGGCAGCAGACTTGAATAAAGTAATAGGTTGAAGTTATTAGATCACAGGCGGCTAGTTGGTTTTTATTTTTCAAAACCCCAATGCGCCTTTAAATTTTTTTTTTTCAACGTTTATTTATTTGTGGGACAGAGAGAGACAGAGCATGAACGGGGGAGGGGCAGAGAGAGAGGGAGACACAGAATCGGAAACAGGTCAAAACCCCAATGTGCCTTTAAAATGAAAACACTGAGAAAGTAGCCTCTTAAAAAAAAAAAAAAAAGCTGTCATAGTTGACAGGATAGATCATTTATAAGGGATTAAAAGTTCCTGCATCTCTTTTGTTTGAAATTGCCTATTCTTTTACTGTTGGGCTGTGTACCTCAGCAGCACCTTTAAGTGGCCTAATAAAATAGCTCTTTTTTCCTTTATAAAAATATAAAATAACATGCAGGACGTGACCTCCTACCTCTGTCAGAACAATTCTGATCCAGGCAGGGAGCAGCCGGTGGCCCAAGTCCTCCGCTTTTCCGTGTCCACACACAGACAATCCGTGAACCAGGTTTCCTAACGCTAGGGCAAAACCTGACGTCTGCATAAGCAAGGGAAAAACAAAGGGTAAGGAAACAGAAGGAGAATGGAACGGATCAGGAACTCGATAGACAGCAACCAAGCACTTCTAGGGGCTCCCTTTCCTACTGACACCTTCTCCTGCCATCTGAAAATCAGAGATTTGCAGATTTTTTTTTTAAATCAAGACTTCTGGTTTGCAACAGAAACTGCAGTCTCACTAGGGAATTCAGTTGCAGTGAATGGTTTCTTTTAGGAAAGTAAGACCGGACTGTTACGAGACTTGACTCAAATGATCCAAATTTTCAGAAGGAATTAGGGTGAAAATAGCAAGGTAGATCATGCAAGCCAAGTCAACTCCCAAACAAGAGGAGAGAAAGTCCCGAAACGAGTACAGCATACGCAAACCTGCACGTTTTGGCGTTGCAAGACCTATTCTGGATTTAAGTGCACAGTCATACGACCGTAAAACAGTAACAAAGCAATATTAGCTAATAACCAGCAAATCCTGCAATAATTCACGATGGCCAAAATCGAGACCATGGGAAACCTATAAAAATCCAAATGGGGAAGGAGCATTTTTTTTCAATTTAACTGTCGTAAAATATACAGAACATAAAATTTACTGTCTTAACCACTTTTCGGTGTAAGTTCAGTGGCATTAAACATATTCACACTGTTGTGCCACCGTCACCGCCATCCATTGCCAGAACTCGTTCATCCTGCAAACTCCAACATTATATCCCTTAAATAAGAACATCCTATTCTCCCTCTCCAAGCCCCCGGCGACTCCCTTTCTTCTTTCTGTCTCAGTGCTTTTGACTACTCGAAGTATCTCGTGCAAGTGGAATCACACAGTATTTTTCTTTTTGTGATTGGCCCATTTCACTTAGCATAATGTCCTCAAGATTCGCCCACACCGTGGCATGTGTTCGAACCTCCTTCCTTTTGAAGGCTGAATAATATTTCAGAGGGAACATTTTAAGGGTATTTAATTTAATTGGCAGGTTTGTTTGTTTGTTTTGTTTTTTTTTAATGTTTGCTTTTGAGACAGAGAGCAAGTGGGGGAGGGGCAGAGAGAGGGAGACAGAGGATCCAAAGCAGGCTCTAGGCTCTGATCTGTCAGCACAGAGTCCAACACGTGGCTTGAGCCCACGGACTGTGAGATCATGACCTAAGCCGAGGATGGAAGCTCAACTGACTGAGGTACCCAGATGCCCCTTTAATTTGCAGGTATTTAAACTGTCACATGCGTATCCGGTCATGAACAGGGGTTCTCTGCTTTGAATTTGCTGAGGTTTCATGTTATCAGAGTCCTCTGTGTATTTATATCTTTACAAATTGTTATCGCTAGCCTTACCTTCCCCTAGCCACATGTTTTAAGATTTTATAAATATAGAACAATACATGGGGAGAGAGAAAAGACTTTCATACCCAAAGAACATAGAACATAAGGAGAGAAAAAAAGACACTTCTGACTGTTGGCTAGAGCAGTGACAAGAGAGAAGAATTAGAAGTTCTTTAGTTCTGGGCACACACAAAAAAAGCCCCACTACAGTCCAATTCTGAGTTAGTCAAAATTAGGACTCAGCAGCAACAGGAGACCCCAAGAGAGTTGTAATCACGGCACGCATTCCAACCTGTTGGTTGTTTTCTACCAACAGCTGAAGCTTGTTCATGATATCTTCAGCCTCGGTAGCCTCAATGATTCCGGCACTGAATGCTGATGTGCATACACAGCTGAGGGTATAGGCAAGGACCTAGACGAAAAGACAGCGGAAAATGTTTCTTCATGAGTGCAAACAAAAGAACACAATTCGGCTGACACCGATGTTTTGCCAAACTTCCCCCCGGGATAAGGACTGGATTCAAGGACACCAACCATAGACCGGGCACCGTCCCGCTGCCCAATTCACGTGTCCCAACAACGTTAGGAGGTGGGTGTCACGATTCCCGCTTTACAGGTACGGACTCTGAGGCTCAACTACATACAGCTTGCAACTGACAGAGGCGAGATTCAAACCCAGGTCTTTGGACTCAAAACCAAAAAGTTCCATCATGATCTCATGGGAGGACACAGCATGAATCAACAGCAGAGGCAGATTTTTATCCCCAGTGAATGCTAGCTTCTAATAGCCATGTGCTCTGATCCAAGGCCAAGCAGGAGAGGAAATTCAAAGAAGTTAAAACCCTGCTGCATTGGGGCGCCTGGGTGGCTCAGTCGGTTAAGCGTCCGACTTCGGCTCAGGTCATGATCTCACGCTCTGTGAGTTCCAGCCCCGCGTCGGGCTCTGTGCTGACAGCTCAGAGCCTGGAGACCGCTTCAGATTCTGTGTCTCCCTCTCTCTCTGGCCCTCCCCCGTTCATGCTCTCTGTCTCAAAACTAAATAAACGTTAAAAAAAAAAATAATTAAAAAAAAAGACAACCTTGCTGCATTAAGACTGTCTTTTAGGAGGAGTGGGGCATAATGGACCAGGCACATGGATTTTAGGGTCACATAAATTGTGTAAAATAGAGGTAATACTACTTCCCACAGAGCACCGGGGTGCTAATTTAATAAATCAATGAATAGATAAGTAAATGAATATATGAATTAATTATAAGTAAAAAAGCATGCTGGGAGTCGAGAGCACGCACACTCAGGTGTATGTCCCCAGTCGACCATTTCCGGGCTAAGTAACTTGGGGCGGGTCACTCGATCTACGTGAGCCTCAAGTTTTGCACATCACGGTTCATCATCCCCTCCCTGCTGCCTCCCACTTTCCTCTTGAAGCCCTCCTTTACAAAGATGCTGTTAAGGCCCGGTGGAAAGGTTCAACTCCCAACCGTGGTCGGTAAGGCGTGAAGAAAGGAAGCCGTTTCCAAGGTAGAGGTTGGATAATAAAACATCAGAGGTGGGGAAAGACAAAAACTGCCTGCTCAAGCCTTACGAATCGAAACATCAAGGCAGGCCGACGCAGCAGTTGTAAAAAACCTTGCCTTCCTTTCACTAATCACGTCGCCCCTTGGTGGCAAAGTTTCCTCCGTGGGCTTACAAAAAAATACGTGCTTTCAGCCGGTGTTCTGCCACTGCTTTCAAAATGGAAATGCGGTGCCTGTGTTGGAACAAAACTGCGACCCTCCGTGCCCCAAAGAAATTCACCGATTCGACAAGTCCCATTGGGGAAAGCGAAGGGGCCGAGCAGGGAAACACAGCAGCCATTATGTAATTCATCAATGGCTCCCGGGCAGACCCGGAGAAAATAGAATCTGCTCTAAGGAGACAGAGAATCCGGCCAGGCCAAAAGGTCGTCCCCGGGTCCTCCCAAAGAAGAACACAAGGCGGTTCAGCTTCACCTGGGCTCAGAGACACGCGCCTCGGACGGTCGCTCGGAACGCGGGAGACTCGCGCAAGCTGCGTCACACAGGCCGCAGTTGTGCGTAGTTTTGCGCCGCGACAGAAAAATCTTTTCATGAAATGTGGTAAAGGGAATTTCCTCAATGATTTTTCATGCTGGCTGACACGAAGAAAGGGGAAAAAAAAAAAAAATCAAATGCCTTTTCGCTCTGCAGTTTCTTAGGCTTCTTCCCGGCCATCTTTTATAGTCACATTTGGCTGGAGCGTAATTCTAAATATCTCCATTTAACCTTCCTGCGGAAATCGGAAATCGCAGCTCTTCTTAGAAAGTGCCTTCTGGCGATGCTGACTTAGGTTTTTGCATTCACTAAAGGCTCTTATCTTCTATGCCACATTTAAGTCTGAGTTGATTTAAACAGCTGCACAATTTGAAACCTTATGCTCTAACCTAGGTTGTTTGCCACTCAGATTTTTCTCCTTATCCTGGCCTGAAACTGAGGGAGAATTTAATTTCAGGGTGACCAAAACATGAGAAGTAGAAAAGAAGCAGCAACAGGAAAACAAAAAACAAAGGGAAGAAAGCCGTCACTTCCGGCTCCTACCTCCTGAAATGTTCTGCTTTGGCTCCCACTGTCATCCAGGTAGGTAGACAGCTTCCGAAGCGATGCTGCCACATGAACTCGAGACTCCATTCGGCTGCTGTGGCTCATGACGGACAGAACAAGTCCAACTCCCAATATACAGCCCGTGCTTGGATGCAAAGCAAAACCAAAAAAAAAAAAAAAACCCCACAAAAAATGAGGTGTTAAAATCACCAGAAACCCACATCACCACTCTTCACTTATCACGCGAGTTTATACTGCTCTTCAGCCTGAGGGGAGATGGCTGGCTTCTAGATCCGCTGCCTGGGATATAAGTGTGCTCCATGAACCATGACAGGTGCACCTACCGCCCCCCCCTCAAAAGGAAAACTATATATTCAAACAAGTGTCCGTGGCCCGCGTTAGTGCTGTGTACCCACTGGACAAGAACAAACGAAAACGTGAAATAGGTTTCACTTAAACTCTAGGGTGAGGTAGGAAGACGAATAAAAAGTCAGGTAAAAGCTGCTCTACGTCTACCCTTAGAGAAATGCCATGGTCCTCTGCACCCTCCCTCTACGTCCACATATTGAGTGCACCATGATTAACTGCATGGGAGAGAAGACTCCGTCTCAGGATGCGAGCTGAGGACATCTAATAATGGGGCAGGGGGCGGGGGGGACGCATTGCAAGGCATGATGATGAGCAACTAAGTGCTTCATGTTTCCTAGTCAACATCCACAAGTGGAATTTCGTCCTTAAACTATGTATTTGTCTGTGCACAATGACATTAGTCCTCTTCTCCCCTCTGATCCCTCGGAGTACCACTGGGTCAGAAGAGAAAATGGACAAATGACAGGCTTGTCAAAAGTTGCCCCATGTGACAATTCAATTGGAATCTTGGGCTTTGTGCCCCAATTCTCGTGAAAGAACACATATCCATTTGAAGGAAAAAAACAAAAACTGTTCTCCCGGAAAACTTCTGGTTAGGATGATAAGATCATGCAGCTGGAGGGCGATTTTCTACTTAAGAAGAAAAAAAAAAAAAAAGGTTTTGGTCATCATTGTGTTCTGAACTGAGGAGATGCCGAGTGTCTCAGAAATCATCCCGATTCTGGTTTGGCTTGCCTCGCACGGTATCTAATGCTTAGGACGACGTTCCAGGGCACTTCTCCAGTAACATGTTTCACTGCCCGTATGCTCTGTCAGTTTGCTCTCATATAGTAACTATACCATATAGTATATAGATATACTATATATACCTCTCTCTATATATAAACACTACATACAAACACCTCTTGCAAACGAAGCATCCACATCTGATAAAAAGACACCCAAGAGGAGAGAGACGCTGCAGGATTTGTTCAAGGCCATATGGAGAGTTTCCAGCAGATGACGGCCAGAAGACAGAGGTTTCGGACTCCCAGCCTTCTGTTCCACCTGCCCAGTCCCAGGCCCCTCTCAGTGCCCCGTATGATGCCTGGATGAAATTGCCTATGAGAAGGCACCCTATCTAGAGCACGTTATTCCAGGTTCTATCTGGCATTAGGAAATCCTTTGCAAAGAAGCTACTGCAGTAATAATCCATCATTACTCAGGCAGAAGTGCTGTTACAGCTTACATGAACTTAACAACTAGCTCAACTAGCATAATGCACTGCCAACCAGTTAAATCAGCATCTAACATCTGAACGCTGCGTGCTTTTGAGACAAATCATGTTTCTGAAAGAGGAAAGGCACTCTTCATTAGTATGGATTTATAGTCCTTGTTTCTATTTAGGATCGACAGGGAAGGTTTTGTTTTTTTTTTTTTTCTTTTGTGTGTGTGTTGGGGGGGGGGGGCTATCTTTCTATACCGATGCATGTAAAAATTTGACCAAATTAGAATCAAAGATAGAGTTAGACAAAATGTGATTAAGGGACACCCGGGTGGCTCAGTCAGTTGAGCGTCTGACTTCGGCTCAGGTCACGATCCCCTGGTTCATGAGTTCGAGCCCCGCGTCAGGGTCTGTGCTGACAGCTCAGAGCCTGGAGCCTGCTTCAGATTCTTCATCCCTTGCTCTCACTCTGTCTCTCTCTCAAAAATAAACAAACATTGAAAAAATTATAAAAAACTAAATAGCAGGTATCTAAGTCTTGCTTTTGGCTATTCTGGGCATGCCAAAAACCTTTATCCTCTGGACTGAATGAAGTTCCTCTTCATCCCGAAGCATACGGGCACAAAGGCTTAGAAAAAGACATCCTGGTTTCTAGCTCACATTTACCTAAATATTATCACAGCATAATTATTCTTGGGCAAGGTTATCATTAATGATTCTATCCATTGCTACAATGGTCGATGCCTGTTGTCATGTGTGAATCCATAATCTAACTATGTATATCAGTGTGCCAATATAAATATGCTACAGTGTATGCATCTATTGACCTCCTAAACTCCTTCTCTCTGTCTCATTTTTCCAGCATGCACCAGGAAGGCAGTCCTAAAGCTTGACTCCCGATGTTTTCTTCTGATTTCCAAATTATCCATATTTTAATGAGCTTATTTTTTGTCCTAAGTCTTAAAGATTCTTCTAGGTGCTTAGGTCAGCATTTCTACACATTTACCTCATTTTAGCTTCCCTTTGATATGTTTGCCAGCTCTAAACCAAGAATGACTTGGGCAGAGGTAGCTTTCACAGCTTTCTCTCCAATGAAAACAAAAAGGAGTTCCACAGTGGTGCCTCAGACAGTTAAAATAAAAACATATTATAATATTAGGTGTTCATTTCAGGTTTTGGAATTAATAACATGAATCTCTAAGAGTACTAACAAACGATAAGGAGAATTTAAGTTGTAAAATCATATGCCCTATTATGTCCTGACTTACTTGAATCTCTTGTTCAAGCATACTAAAATATCACTGGCAAAAAGAAAATCTACAACTTAAAAGCTGTGCAATTCCGCTATGGGTGTTGCTATACCAAATGAGATATAAAGATTATCATGACACATTTTTTCTAAAATTAACCAGATGAATCTTCAATTCCTTACTTTATTGTGGGCACTCCTGCAGATTGAGTACGAGGCCATCTAATAATTAGTTCTAATAACAGTTAACATTTGTATAGCGCTTTGCCCTTTACAAAGTGCTCTACAAATGTTATCGTATTTGTAAAAGCTCAATAGTAATTAACCAATGCTCAGGTCATTGATGGATGGCAGGACTGCTTAAGGCTGGGAGGACTGCAATGGCACAGTAATTACCACTAGATGGCAGCAAAATGTAAGCGATTGGGCCACGAACACCGACCAGACCAGGTGCGGGGTTCTCTCAGCAGGGACGTGTCCATTAAATCAAGGAAGCGTGGTGAATTTGCTCTGGGTGAATTCTGTCACTTGAGGTAGCACGCTCCCAGATCTATTAACTACCCCCTGGTAATGCTTCCACTATTTCACTTGAGAGAGGACTGCCCTAGACTCCTGAATCTCATTAGACGGGGGAATACTTTATGCCTGGGCCTAGTTAGAATCCCTCTCCCTCTCTCCCTCCCTCTCTCTCTCTCTCTCTCTCTCTCTCTCTCTCTTTAATAGTGAGACACACCCACATGTTAAAAAAAAAAAAAGTAACTACCATACTATCAGGTGTCAAATCGCTTTCTTTCTACTGAAATGTGTTCTCCACACAGAACTAGGCAAGACAGAAAAATGGCTTTGAAGTCCGACAACGTAGGCTTCTCCCCCAGCTCTGCTACTTACTGTGTGACCTTGAACCAGTCTATTTGAGACTCATTTTCTTAATCTATAAACCAAAGTGATGAGTATTCCTGTTTTAGTATCAACGTTTCGACTGTCACTGGGGCTTCATTACAGGAGAAACAGGTGTGAAAATGCCTAGCTACCTAAGCACTAACAGCTACAGAGCATCAGGAATGACAAAATACTAAACTTCTTTAACTGTAGGAAGAACAGGAGTTTGGAGAAGATAGAGGGAGAAGTTCTTGAAGGATCTGGGCTTTTAATTGAACTCTCTGAAAAACAAGCAAGACTTCACTGAAGGACAGGAAACTTCTGATGGCTCTATTCTATTTAATTCTGCAGCATTAATCCCTATCTAGGCCCATCGTTCCCTCTCTCAAACATGGTTCATCATTAAGGAGGTAAGAATCATGAAAGAAGAATGAAATAAGAATCTTATCAATATAAAAAGTTAACTTTAAAGTTAAATACACTTAGACATAGGAGGTTTTTATAAGCATAAATACCCATACTGTGGACAATTCAGTTATCTCTATGGTTCCCCTCACATTGAAACAAACTTCCTGCAGATTAGTGGAGATAACATGTGAAAGTCGTTCCTGATTGTTCCAACTGGCTGAAAGCCTGCAACATGTTAATGCATAAATGTGTACCCAATTTTATAATACCCTGAGCTACAGCCATGACGGATACCTGTGGGAAAAGGTAGGACTGGGGTGGGAGGTGGGCGTGGGGAGAGAAATGTATCTTACTCCTTGGTTGTAAAAGGCAACACCACCAATACATGGATTGGACTCAAAAATACCAATTCTTCATCAGACCCGGCAACAGTTAGATGGCCCTATCCCTTCCATTAAATCATTTTTGCCATTCAAGAGACTTCAATCATGTCCCCAAACTCTCTTTTCCCATATTCAAAGTCACGCTCTTAAAACATCTCATTTCATCTCTAACATGTTTCGTGATAAACTGGGTGGGTGTCAACGATTCTTATCTAATCTCAGCCTGCATTTCAGAGAAGACCCTACAACTACCACCTACAAAGTGAAGAGTTCATGGTCTACGCATAATGAAATATACGATATGGGCAGTTTCTTCTAGTTACTCTTTTGTTAGTCTGCACTACTTAACAGGCTAGATGATACGAATGTCACGCCAGATCACAAGTTCCTAAAGGGCCACCAATGTAAACACTCGTATCTAAACAGTGCCCATAACAGCAAAAAAGTAAATGGGTTCATAAACTGGAGGTTAGTGCTTACACTTTGTTGAGTTTTTTAATAATAATGAACCTCAGAGGATCTAAACCTGAGGTTCCAAAACATGTGGAAGTCCAAAAAGATACAATGTAGGTCCTCAAGGGTGTCAATGTTTCAGAAAGCCTAATAAAACTGTACCTTCTCCCACACAAACACAGACTAATTAAAACATTAAATGTCTCACTAAACGAGTACGGTTAGTTAGCCTTAGTTTTTTGAGTTTTTTTTGTGGGGGGGGGGGGATTTTAGTTTTATGTAATCTCTACACCCAACACGGGGCTCAAACTCACAACCCTGAGATCAAGAGTTGCCTGCTCTATTGACTGAGCCAGCCAGGCACAAGGTATTGTTTTCTAAGTATTCTGTTTTGGTTTTGGTCACCCTTCACAAATTTTAAGATATTTAATAGACAAAATCTTTAAAAAGCATGAGATCTGGGGCGAGACAAGGAGAACCTATTGACACAGAGGAGGTTGGGACCCCCTGATATAACCTATGTTTTGCTTCCATTTTGATTCCTCAGTCATTGGGTTTCACAAGGGAAATCTAAATCATGGGTCAAAGGCTCCCTTCACCCAATCAAATTCAACCATTCAAATTTCCAGTCAAATTTCAACCATTTAAAAAGGTTAAGTCATGCACATAAGTCTCCAGATACATGCTCCATATGATAACGACAAGACAGAACTAAGGTATTAGTAACTTAACGACAGCCATGAAGTGACGTGCATTGCTCTGTATTGAAGCAAACTATTGCTGAAACATGGTTTTTAGAAACAAGTAAGCTTTAAATTTTTTTTTAATGTTTATTTATTTTTGAGACAGAGAGAGACAGAGCATGAGCATGGTAGGCGCAGAGAGAGAGGGAGACACAGAATCCGAAGCAGGCTCCGGGCTCTGAGCTGTCAGCACAGAGCCTGATGCGGGGCTCGAACTCACGAACCGCGAGATCATGACCTGAGCCAAAGTTGGATGCTTAACTGACTGAGCCACCCAGGCACCCCAGAAACAAGTAAGCTTTAATTACAGGTTTTTGATAATTACTGAAAAACTCTTTGTGAACGAATTCGAGATCAAGTCCTATGAATACTTCACGATATAATGCAAAATTCATGGCAGAGGAAGATTTGATGCCTAAATATCAGAGAGGAAAGGAAATCAACATACTTATATTCAAGACTAGCATCAAAGCAGCAATTTTCCAGGGCATCCAAAGACTTCATCAGAAGGAGGTTCATCTGTTGGCCAGATATATCACTAGGCAAAGCAAGAGGAAAAACTGAATTACTGAAAATAATTCACATGTCCAAAATACCATTTAATATTTTCCTCTTAATATTTTAGTGAAAATACATTTTGTTAAAAAAAATAAGTCACAATATTGATGACTCACATATACTTATTTTGCAAACAGAGAATTTAATTATTGAGTTTCTGTACAGTAGCATCACTTGTACACCAATAAACTCAAAAATGACTACTTTTGTATTTCCTCAGCCCATTCACATTTTAAATCACTGAAAAAGACCAAAATCGGAATTCCAAAAACATTTTCAAGAAGGCCAAGGTGATTTTCTTCGGAATATTTGACAACCCACTAAGCTGATATTATCAATAATCAGTCCAAATCTCTTTTCTTGCGAAGACCGTTACTTCTGATTTCATGTCTCAGTTGGGAAGGCTGGTAAGCTCTACTCCTTTTTTCAAAGGCGGGGAGGGGAACCCCAGTCATTTATTTTCCCTGCCTTTATACAGTAATTGATGTGGTTTTGCAATGGTCTTGGTGAGGGCTATGACTTCTGTAGTAAAACAAAACTTACAAGGTCATTCTATGGCTGTTTTCTCAGGCAGAGTTGTGGGTTTCATCACCGACACTTTTTTTATCAAGGGGTTTCTAAGATGTCACTTCTCCTGCTGCCCCCTCGGACCACGCTAAGAGGAATGCGGCCCCAGGAATGCCAAACAGCCAGAGAGCACTTTAAATAAGGTCTTCCCAAACCAAAAATATAGTACTTTTGCCTGAGGTGAAGGATTGCATTTTGCAGCGAGAACACGCACGCGCGTGCGCGCGCGCGCGCACACACACACACACACACACACACACACAGTTTTAATAGCTTTGACTAAATAAGTCCTTATTACAGCTGTTCTCTGGAGTAAAATATACTTAACTATCCTAAACAAATGCTAAAGAGATCCTACCGGTATCCTCTGGGAGTTATGACAGCAGCAAGCTTTGGAATAATATGCTTTTCTGAATAAATTCTAGACTGGAATTTAAATTCAGGTGACTTTCTCCTAAGCCTTAGCTAAAAATGGATGGCCATGATTCTCTTCTACAGGGTGATTTTTCATACTTGAGACCAACATACTGTCCTAATCCTGTTCCCCTGAGGGGTCATACTGGGCAACTTATTTGATGGCACTGGCTATTCAGGGCCAACAGCTCTCAAAATGCTTACTTTAATTTTAGAAAAACGGAAACTTCCTCCGAAAACGTCATTATCTGGTGACACCGTCATTATCTAGTAAAATATTTCTTGGCACCAAAAGTAAACACTTCAGGTTCCTCTCCTCCAGAAAATTAGGAAGGTGGGAACCATGAATAATTATACCACTGGCTACAGTGTAAACACACTGACCAAAGGATGAAGCGCGCTATCCAGACAGATTATGAGAGCAAAGTGAAAATTTGCACTTATTCTGAGGGCCTTTGGCCTTGGAAAGCGCTTCCTGGTGTCCTTCCCCAGGCTGTCCAGCACGTGCAAAGCCACGTAAGACAGAGAGGGGTAGAAGGCGATCTAGGAACCGGTTTCTCAAGGTAGCATGATTAAATTAACCACACATGCGAGCTTGTCAAGCCCTAAACCCAGCAGCATCTCATCCTAAACTAATGAAGAAAGGAGCCAGAGCCAAGATGGGATGAAATGAGTTGCCTGGAATTAAACTGCCATGGCTCATTTTTAGTTGTAAAACATGTTGCTTGAAAGATACTGAAGAAAGAGCATGAACACAGATGGTGAAGAAACTGCCATTTGTAGCATTGTAGCAAAGGGAAAAAAAAAATCACTTTCAAGTTTTAAGCCTTTCAAAAATATGTTGTGTTCTGTCGCACACACAAGATATGTAACAGTCACTTCACATGCAAAGGGCAGCTTTTTGTTCATGTCCAGAACCAGGCCTATAAATAATAATGCTGGTGAACAGAACAGAATGAACATTCTAGAAACGTTTCATTTATGATCACAAAGACTAAGCCAATCTTCCCAATCATCTGACAGATGTTTCTAAGAGCTGAAAATGATCATCTGAAATCTAGTATTTCCCTAGATCAATAGCAGTTCTCCTAAAGGTTTCACATAATGGTGTTTGCACAAAGCTATGTAAATTACAAATGCAAACTTAACCACTGGTTTCGAACTGCGAAATCTACATACAGCGTCATGTCATCCAGTTCACCCACACTGACACCGTTTCTTGGCTTTGGACAGACCGTTAATTTCTGCCAACCAGGGAAGTTTAAGGACATCGAACATCTCAACAGGATGCCTCTTCCGACTACCCTATTTCCAGTGCAGGAAAATGGAGCCGAATTCCAAGTCAGCGACATCTAAATATTCATGATATTCAAATATTCATGTTGTACCACACTACAATCAATCTGGATATATAAAATTCTACGATTTGTTATAAAATAAAGAAGAAATATAATGAACAACACAACCAAAGTAGATTTATGCACGAGACAACTTTTCCATCTAGTGGAATTTCCCACTTGGGTCTTTGCTATTCTGTTAGGTCCATTCAAGGGTAAAGCTAGCAGTCCAAGATTGACCAAACTGAGTAAAGCACGCAGTATAATATGCACAGATTAAGACTCTTTAAGGATTACAAAAATGTAGCCAAGGCACAGGATAAAAGCAGTATTTAAAACTGGGTACACGCAGTTCTCAGGTGACTCAGGTAATTCCCAGCACCTCAGGCATAAGGGATACTCCAATCTTCGTCTCCCATTTTACAGTGATCCCAGTAAAGGATCAGCAATTATTTTCACCCTCATGAACCAGGAAAAAGAGCAGCTTTTTCATTTTTAGCACCAGAAGATCACACTTTTCCTCATATCTATTACCTGGGTGTATCCTGGGCTCTCATCTAAGGACGGAATGATTTTCAAGCAATCGTCACCTTAGTAAGAGCAGCCCTAAAAACACATTCATGTCTTCGCGATGGCGTTGGAGGCAAGCCAGGTTCCCTCACAAAGGAGAAGAAAGGCCCAACTTGCCCATGTCAAAAAGTTTGGCGAGCACACGCGGCTCAGAGAGCGCGTGCGTGCGCACGGGTGCACGTGGGCCACGTCCTCTGCCTACATCACAAAGAGGAAAAGGAGGAACACGCAAACAAACCGTACCTGAGTTTCTCCTCACACAAGCGGGACAGAAACATCCCCAAAGCAAGGCCCATGTGGATTTGCACGGCTTGAGACTCATCAGCTCTTGGTTTCCCAGGTAACCTGGCAGTCAGCATGTTGAGGATTTCCTCAACCTTCTCTTTGCAAGAGATAATGAAAACTTGCACGAGGAGAGACAAAGCCGTGGCGGCAGCCGAGCGGGCAATGGCACTGGCTGTGTTTTCACCAGAATAGGATTTCTAGGACATGCCAAAGAAAGAAAACAGGGGGTTGGCCTTTTGTTTAAAACATGAAGGAAGCATACCTATCACAAGAGCACGAAACGCAACAATATCAGCTTCTCTTAGATCCTCTCCTGCCGATGAAAAAAAATGCAATTAAACAAAAATCTATTTCTGGGCTTGTCTGTAGGTTACCTTGTCACTCTTCCTTACTGAAACGATTTTCCACTGAAACAAGCAGCTGATTAACAATATCCTTTTAAGTATGGGGGAAAAAAAAATCTTAAGTGTCTTCTCTTAAAGGGTGTGAACTCCCTCACTATAAAGCCAGAAAAAAATGTCAGTGTTTTGAAAGCCCACATGCATATATAATAAAGAACCCAAAGTGAAGTTACCCAAGCTTGGAGAAGCCAGCAAGCCACATTATAAATGTGTACAGAGCTAGTTTTCTAGGAGAGAAAGAAAGAGTGTGTGTGCGCACACGCTGCAGGATCGGAGGGGAGAGGGGGGTGCGGGGGGGGGGGGACAGGAGGGGGGAGTGGTTAAAGTTTAGTATGAAGGAATAAATGTAAGTTCAGCACAGGGATCTATTGGCAGATCTCCCAAAATTTTTGGTGGGAACGCTTCCCAGTAGATGGATTATTTCCTACAGGGGGTTAATTCCTTTTAATTAAAAAGGAAGTTGAAATCCTAAAAGCCTCTGGTTACAAAGCAATAACCAGCTATTCAAAATGAAATGGGGAGCTCTATATGCGCCTTCCTATATGTAATTATGGGAAAAGAAATGAATAACAGCCCTGATAAAATGACAGGGCAGCTGAATATGAACAGCTTTTCCAAGAATCCCATGCTAGGGAGCTCCAACAGACGTTAAATACACTTATAAATACGTCTCGAGTGGGGAAGAAAGCCCATTTATCACTCGGCACTGTCATCTACTTCAACTTTTCAGACACACCATAAAGGCTGTGCTGTCCCTTGCAGTCAAAGCACGTTACAAGGTGTTTTTAATTCTGCACCCATTTGCTAAGCTTTAGCACTTTTTAAGGATAAAAATCACACATGTGCTAAGGTATTCTTTCAGCTAACATGGTACAATCGTAATGACAATACTATTCAAAATGACCCAGCTGCTAGAACACTGAAAATAAAGAAAGTGACTTTCGAAATCAGGGCTTTGAAGAGGCACAAGAATGCAAAAAGCACAAAGGTAAGAGGCAACCCTGAGCTGGCTACGAAAGAGATTATTTTTATTGGTTTGCAAGAACTAAGCAGCGTTATTAGAAATCTCAGAGAATATCCTGTCCTGGTGAATATCAGAACCAGACAGCTACTGCAAAGACCTCTATATAATCAGTTTTTCATCCATCATTAAAGAAGAACACGTCTGACAGAAAACAAACTATCATAAAGAAATTACTTCTTTGAGTAAAGTCTACTTTCCAGTTTAATTCTACGTTATCTAGAAGTCATCTTTTTTTTTTGTCCCCAAGTATAGTTTAAAATTCTAGTTCTAGACCCTGAGCCCCAGATGAATACGTACCAGGTCCTCCCAAAAGGAGGACACAGAGGCACAGAGAATGTTGTAGAGAGAAGACCTAAGGCAGTGGAGTTTCAGGCTAAAATCACGATCTTAGCAACAGTTCATGACCTGTGCTATATTTTTATTCGAATCAACTATAATCCTCCGCTGCTCAGCTGATTGTCCCATGATCACTATAATTCCCTAAGCACTGGAGACTGATAAGGCAGAACCAGAATAATTTCATGCAGATCCCAGAAATTAAGCATGCACTAGAGCCAGTGAAGGGAAAAGAAAACCTCAACAAAAGAGTTGTATTTTCAGTTTGTTTCAAAATCTTAGGCTATTAGCAAGAAGAAAAAGAGTGACTCTTAAGTAACAGGTACTTTTTTTTTATGATCAACAACAATATTGCTCTGTAACATGAAGAGTATTTCACAGTTTTCAGGACATTTTCCCACGAATGACATCATGTGATCCTCACCAATCTTTTATGAAGTTGGCAAAGCATTAGTTTTTACCTTCATTTTACAGGTAAGGAAAACAAAATGGTGGGTGAAGTATCAGGTCAACTTTCACAAAACTAGTAAAGGGTGGAGCTGAGGCTAAAATCACTACTGATAATACTGTTCAACTGCCTGGTTTACACACAAGGAAACAAAGGTCCCAAGAGGTTAAGTGAACTGCCCACGGTCACATATCCTGAAATTAAAAAAAAACCATGACTAGGGGCGTCTTGGTGGCCCAGTCAATTGAGCATCTGACTTCGGCTCAGGTCACGATCTCATGGTTTGTGGGTTTGAGCCCCAAACTGGCTCTGTACTGAAAGCTCAGAGCCTGGAGCCTGCTTCAGATTCTGCGCCTCCCTCTCTCTCTGTCCCTCCTGCAGTTGCGCTCGGTCTCTTTCTCTCTCTCAAAAATAAATAAACATTAAAACAAACAAACAAACAAACAACTATGACTGGACACTCAGGGACAGCAATCTTCAACTAATGTTTATTTCACTACAGCTGTAGCTCTTGATTCTGACTACACATGGGAATAATCCAGAGACCTTTCAAAAGACTGATAACGCCCAAGACCTATCCCTAAGCAATTAAATTAGAGGAGGCCTACAGGTCAGTATTTATTTTTTCTGGATACATCTATCTATCTATCTATAGAGAGAAATAAGATATAGATGTCTATCTAAATGTCTATAGGCATATATAGACATAGATACATATATAGACATATATAGATACACATATACATATATATATAAAGTGTGTACATAGGCACACATACACATGCGCACACACTTAAAACTTCCCCAGGTGATTTTAACATATGGCTAAGACTGAGAATAATTACCCCACAGCATGGCTTTCACGTGAACAACTAATAGGAGACAACTCAACCCTTGGGTTTTCCATCTTTTTTTTTTTTTTTTTTTTTATTTCTCTTATTCTCAGACTTACATAATAAAATGAGGAGAAGATTTGTCCTCTGGGTTGGTGATGGCTATCCACAATGACCAGGAGAGTATCAGACACCATGGAAACCCACTCTTTCATTGAAAGGAAATTAGGATGAACCTGTAAATGAAGAAAAAAACCATGAAATGGTAATGGAAAAAAAGAAAAAACCTAAACATTGTTTCTAGATCCAGGGTACAACCCCCTTCTGTTATTAAAGAGTAAAATGCTCTTCTCAAAAAGTAAGCTTCACTGGCCAGGACTTTGGGAGGCAGATAAGTATTTGACAAATACACATCTCTGACCTGTGCCCCAACAGGAGTACGATTTACCTTTTGTTCAAGGCAAGCAGAGGTGAGAGTCTGGGGGCTGCAAAACAGACCATATCTGAGAGCTCTCCCTGTGCTTGCCTGTGTTTAGTGAGGGTGATGGGGGGGGGGGGGGTGAAAAAGATGTGCAGAGAAAAGAAATTCACAATGTCTCATTTCGATGACTTGCCACTTCACAAGGGAGGCACTGAAGCAGCCTTATGAAATTTTCATCACTATCTTTAGCATTTCTGCTTACTATCACCACATATTTATCATTTTGAATCATCACAACAATTGCCTAGCTAATTAGGTATGAAAGCATGAATGATCCTTCAGTTGGGAAAAGAGGAGGAAAGAGAATGCAAAAAAACGAAAACGAAAACTAAAACCACAACAAAATCCAACTTATTATAAAGAGAACTTGGTTTTCAAAACCATTCATGACCATGGATGTCAAAAGCATTCATTAACTCACATGGTGAGGACACTCAGGTGGTACAAATGATAAAGGTCAATGCGGTGTTAAGTATCCTTGAGATTAATTCCTTGACTCAAAGAAGGCCTTCTTCCCAAGACCTTTAGTTGTTAGTCATATGCAGCTTTGAACAGAGTTTGGAAACTTCAATTTTAATCAGATAAGGAGGTCTTGAGTTTGTACTGAGGAATAGCCAAAGACAAGGCCATCAAGAATAAAAGCAAAGCCCCATCTTTGGCTTCTGTGGCTTCTCGATGTTTCGTCTAACATGTGTTACAGCACAGAACAAATGGCGGGGGGAGTAAAGACGACGACGACTGCCTGAAACTCCACCTCTGAGCTAGAACCCTGGTTACTACTGGGGCAAACTGCCAGCACAACTGCCCCAAACAAGGGATCCTAGAAAGGCACATTCACTTTTTAGGTCGTAAGATTCCACTTAGCATGCTGTCTTTGCTAAAGTACTCCATGGCTCTTTCAAGGATATAAAACATCTCCTCTCGTAAAAAGTTTCGTCTTAAAAATTAAAAAAAAAAAAAAAAAAAAAAAGTTTCGTCTTTCTCATCATTAAAATAAGATTCTGGATTGAAATTTTCGTATGGTAACTACCCTCTCATCCTTCCTGCGATAATTCCTTGGCCTCTTTGCCTTCCCCACGTGAAATGTACATTTGTAGCTTTGGCCACCCAGCAAAAGCACCTATGCTCTCGTTCAGTGGTGACAGCACCTTTGGAGAATCCCCTCCTCCGTGATCTGAAGCTTGGTTAAATGCTCGATGAAGCTACCCATCTGACCCCGCCCAAGGTGTGGGTATGAGACCCAGGGGACCCTAAACCTTAAGTGACCATCCCAGTGGGGGTAGTCTGCTCAGATGGCTCTGATATCAGTTCCTGTGCCTGATGTCCTTTCCCAAACCCAGTTTTCAGCTGTGCCTTGAATTCCACGGGCTTCCAGATTCCACATCCTTCTGGTTCCTTTTTTACTTAGATGAGAGTTGGTTCCCTTGCTTGCGACCAAAAAACTCCACCATGAAAGAGGAGTACAGATGGCCCACGAGACAGACACGCTGAGGGAACAGAGACAGGCTGAGTAACATTGAATAAAGTCTAGTTTTTGCAGCAAGAAGTCAGATGATGGTTACTATCGCCGGGAGCTTAGTATCTACTAGCTGCTGTGCTCTACATACATTAATTCCTTGAATCCTCGCAAGAGTCCTTGCTGGTAAGTATCGTTATCCCCATTTTACAGATGGGGGACCAGGCTTTGAAAGGGGAAGTTACCGAAAATAGGCCGCAGAGCTAGAAAGTGCAAGTACTGGGATTTAAATAGAGGACTCTCCTATTCCAAAGCCTCTGCTTTTTAACCACTTGGCTATATTGTCTCCAGATAGTGCAAGCTACTAGATAATGGGGCTTAAAAGAAGAATAAATCCATGCCTTTTTATTTTGACAGATATGAATTATCTGTAAAAGCACATTGGAAATGAACATTGGCCAGCTCGCCACATGTTTAATTAAGAAATAAACGCCTTGCAAAAATGAATAGGCACTTTGTCATTGACATCTACAATTAAAATGCAAAGTACGATTTTTTTTCAGTCGGTAAACACTGCTTATTTATCATTTTTTTTGACAGCATTGTTCACTTTCAGTAAGCCTAGTTAACCTCCCAAGATTGGTTACCACTGATGCAATCACAGAAAGACAACCCCTGTTGCATAAAATTGGTACCTTCGAATGGAAATGACCACTTAACTGTGATGGAGAAAGGAAACAGAAAAGCAGCAAGGGAAAGTGTCATAGGAGACCCTCAAGCTCACAGTGTAAAGGCCCCTCGAGTAGCATAACTTGGTGCTATTGCAAAGCATAGACTCTAACCTCGTAAATTCAGGGCCAGGCTCAAAGACACTGCTCACTTTTCAAACGCCGCCCAACTGGTTCAAGTCACCCTTAACTTACCTCCGGGACCCCCTCAGAGTCGGAGGAGAGGCTGGCTTCGTGTCTGGATACGACGACAGCAAGGCTGCTTAAGGCTAACAGCGCGTTGCCCTTGACCACTGGGCTCTCCCTGTTTAAAAAAAAAAAAAAAAAAAAAAAAAAATTCCAAGAGAGGATTTGGGGGCATTAACTGAGAGAAGAGAAGGCGTTATTACAGAGAAGGCAGATGAGGTCAAAAACACCTCTATTCCTTGCCCGAGCTTCACCAGCACGCGTCTGCTTGTTCCCTGAGGCCTGTGGCTTTTTTTTTCCTTCTCCGGACACTCGTGCTGAGTTTTCACTTTCCTCATACATGTATATGCTCATTGTGCTTGTTTTGCAACCTACAGACCTGAGCTCATGTATCTGAGTTCTTTCCTTCTGAAATTTTTTTTTTTAATTTTTTTTTCAATGTTTTTTATTTATTTTTGGGACAGAGAGAAACAGAGCATGAACGGGGGAGGGGCAGAGAGAGAGGGAGACACAGCATCAGAAACAGGCTCCAGGCTCCGAGCCATCAGCCCAGAGCCCGACGCGGGGCTCGAACTCACGGACCGAGAGATCGTGACCTGGCCGAAGTCGGACGCTTAACCGACTGCGCCACCCAGGCGCCCCATCCTTCTGAAATTTTTATCTCATCATTGGACACTGCATTTCCTAAGCTGTCGCCTTCTGTGTCATCTCTGGCCCACAGAACTCTATCGATTTGTTCTGAAAACACAAGCGAGGGCAGTTGCGTGAATTAGAGCAGCAGAATGGAATTGGCCTCTGGCTTTTCTAAGGCACTGGTGTGTGGAAGCAGCTTCTAGGGAGCCACTCGGATGGCGTCCTTCACCAGCCACCTGCCACGCTGGCAGGTTCTGGCAGTCATCATATTATCCTCCCCTTCTTCCCCTTGATATGCCAAAGCCAGCACCCTTCAAGTCAGTTTGGAATATAACTTTAGAGACCCTAGATAAGACGCAAAGATGGCCTGTTTTTATTTTATTTTGATTTCTTTAATGCTCATTTATTTTTGAGAGACAGAGACAGCACGAGCAGGGAAGGGGCAGAGAGAGAGGGAGACAGACTCCGAAGCAGGCTCCAGGCTCTGAGCCGTCGGCACAGAGCCCGACGCGGGGCTCGAGCTCATGAACTCTGAGACCATGACCTGAGCCAAAGTCAGATGCTTAACTGACTGAGCCACCCAGATGCCCCAAAGCCTGTTTTTAAATTATCTGGATTGACAGTTGTCTTTTCTCATTATCCAAATGGTGTTTTCTTTTTAATATTAGCAACAAAATCTTATTTTTTTTTTATTTTTAAAAAAAAAATTTTTTTTTTCAATGTTTTTTATTTTTGGGACAGAGAGAGACAGAGCATGAACGGGGGAGGGGCAGAGAGAGAGGGAGACACAGAATCATTAACAGGCTCCAGGCTCTGAGCCATCAGCCCAGAGCCCGACGCGGGGCTCGAACTCACGGACCGCGAGATCGTGACCTGGCTGAAGTCGGACGCTTAACCAACTGCGCCACCCAGGCGCCCCAACAAAATCTTAAATTTGACTTTTTTTTCTTAATTCTAGTTATGTATTTTGAGAGAGAGAGAGAGAGAGTGAGCAGGGTAGAAGAAAGAGGGGGGAGAGAGAGAATTCCAAGCAGGCCCCACGCCATCAGCAACAGAGCCTGACGCAAGGCTCAAACTCACAAATCGTGATATCATGACCTGAGCTGAAACCAAGAGTCGGAGGCTCAACTGACTGAGCCACTCAGGCGACCCTTGACTTCTGAAGTTAGTATCAAGAAACCTGAACCTTTTATTTTTTTAAGTTTATTTATTTTGAGAGAGAGAGAGAGAGAGAGAGAGAGAGAGAGAGAGAGACCCAAACAGGCTCCACACTGTCAGCACAGAGCCTGACAATGGGCTTGATCTCACAAACCATGAAATCATGACCTGAGCCAGAGTCAAGAGCTTAACTGACTGAGCCACCCAGGTGCCCCAAGAAACCTGAACCTTCCAAAATATACTTACCATTTGAAAATGAATGTTTAGCATTATTCCATAATTCCAAGGTGATTCTATAGAATAAAATCTTAAATGGACACTGATGCGATACTCTTGGCTTGCCACCTGTGTCATAACAGAAGTCAGGCAAGAGGGCACCCGTACCATCACACTTCAGTTCTGGCCTGGTTGTGGACTCCCATACAAACAGACAAAATGTTTCCCAAAAACTGGACTTGAGACTTGAACGTGAATCTGTGTGTCCATCCGAGAATGGCTCCTGTCCAAGAACGACCCCAGCATAGGAACGGAACAGGTATGTTAGATGAGGAAGACTTTCGGCCCCGCTCCCCTTGCGAGCTGAGGACCTCCAGACCCAGGCCACAGGCATGACTAAGCATGTGAGCTAGTGGGCATTAAAAGGTTAGTATTCACACATGTTCTTGCATTTTTGCTTCCGTCTGGTAAGAATGGGACTCAGCTCCTCCATCGTCCTACACATCTAATCCCTCCTGCCTTCTCGTTCTCCCACCTTGGGGTGGTTAAACTCAGTGAAAGCTTGCTCTGCCCAGTGGGTCATTTGGTTCACTCATCCTTAATTTCTTCCACTATGAGGCCTGCTGTAAGTGGATAAGAGCACAACATTTACATCAGGGGATGGGATGGAGGGAGAAAACAGAAGGAAGGCTTGAAGGCTAAGCAGATGCCTTCAACCCAGGTTTTGCTAGAGTTTTGCAGTGAGGATTACTGGGAACTCAGATAGCTAATAATAAAACACCAGAAAGCCAGGCAAGGTCTGGGTATTCCTGGGTGCCCAAGCCATAACATTACATTAAAAAAAAAAAAAAAAAAAAGAAATCTTTTATTTCTAACATTATCTCTTTCCTTTAGCTGAGAATATCCTGAAGCCTGTCCTGCTACAAAATGGCCATGAATCCCTAAATGAAAAAAAAAAAAAGTTTTAAATTCTCAGTGTCAAGACTTCGATCCCCAGTGGTTATCACCATAGAGAAAAGCTCGGATGGTCCCCAGGAATAGGATATCAAATCTTTTTAAAACAAGGGTATTAGACAAGATGACACGAAAAGCACTCTTATAACTCTGAAATTCTGAGAGAGCATTATTTAGCTTCAGTTCCAAAACCGTGCCCAACATGGTTTTGTTTCAGAAGTCTTATTGGCCTTGACATTCCTGAACATGTATTGTCCTTGTAAAATGGAGAAAAATGTTATTTAAAGCCACTAGTAATGAGACCTTTGGTTGCGGACTAAATGTGTATTCGGACATTAATCTTTGAATAGAAAAAAGTATTTCTCGGTCCACATAATGCATGCTCAGACCACGCTGTACATTTCACAAAGGTACTGTGACCAGTTTCTCTTGGTCGTCTCTGCATTCCCTACTTGCTGCACGCAGCGACTTCTGGAAAGGAGACAATACGGATTTCGTGAAACAAATTCGTGGAGGAGCTGGCCAGGTAAACCTCTACAACCAGTTCAGCAAATACTCATCAGCTTGTTGATCAAATAACTATCCCCCCCACCCCACCCCCTGCCCCGCCCCAGTCGGGCAGTAGTAACTAATTTGCATAATAACATGTCAGCATCAGTACAGTATTTATCTAGGCAACACCACTAGCATTTTAATTAAACTGTCCTTTGGAACAAACTGATGCCATTAACCTAATTAAAAAGCACAGGAAGGATGAGCTACAAGGATGCTTTCTTTGGGACAAAGTATTACATTACATATTAGTAAAGTGACCCAGTCCTTTGGGGATTTTCATCTTCGGGTTCAAATCTATTTAATTAACAACAATGAAAATGAACTTACATCAATCATCAGGTTTTATCTGTTCTCTGATTCTCCTTTAGCCCTATCCTTGATGCTTTAAAACTGCTCTTAAGTGAGCAAATCAGTCTAATCCTGTGACTGGTGTTTTACTTCCTGCATTTAACTTATACGGCTCAGAACAAAGTAAGTCTTACAATGGCCCAAACCAGCCTGTGGCGGCCATGGTCCAAAGAAGGCTAAGCTGGCAGCAGGTGGTGGTGGGGTCTTCACATGGTTGGAGGAAGCCAGGGGGAAAAAGAGAGAGACGCAGAGTGATTCTTTTTCCCCCCTGCTCTATCATTAATCTCTCAGCCTTTGAACCTGACTTGCTGTCATACCTACTATTGTCGGCATTGCTTTAATAAGATAAGGTCTATAAAATACTTTGAAATTTTTGATGAAAAGGTAACACTATGAGAACATGAATTATTTTTACTCCGTGCCACTGAGAATGTGAAGACACTCTTCGTAGGCATTTCATGAAACGATGCCTGGCAAATCGGAAGATTAAAATCTTGTTGAAATAAAATTTTAGAATGGAAAATGCACAAGCTACTAGAGAGGCAAAATGATAGCTTGTTTTAATAGAGAGCTGCTAGATTCTTCAGCGTTCCACGGCTTTTTTCCCCCCTGCAAATGTCAGAGCACGGTTTTTACCAGGATATAAGTAGATTACATAATAGAACAAACTATGAAAGGTAAGGGCTGAAGACAGTCCCCCTCTCCCCGCCCCAGCACACCCTCCCCTCCAACAGGCAGCTGAGCGCTCCGCTCCCCCACTGTGTCTGCAATTCACCAAACTAGATAAGCAGACACAAATGAGTCCCTATCGAAGCCTCTCTGTACTTTAGTTTTCATTTTGTCAACAGATATGTCAACAGATATTTCCCAGTGCCTCCCACAGAAGTGGGTGCAGGGGAGGATTACCACTTCTATTTCCCTTTATTCAGAAGGCATTAGGCTGAGTGGTGATCGTGTACTGTGATTAAGGCAAAACCTATTTAGCCACAGAAAGTTCTGGAACACGATAGGGATAAACTATATTGAAATGAATTATGTCTAGATAATATGGACACATGAAATCCCGTAGGTCAAAGGTCTATCTATGTTATTTGGTGGATAAGAAGAAAGGCGGCAGCTAAAGGTGATGGTGGAAGGGAGAAGCGGACATAACTGACATGTAACTTACTGCCAGAAACAATTACTCAGCTTGTTAGCAAAGGAACCCGAAGAGATTGTTCAAGCAAGTTCATTAGGGTATAATTTTCTGTTGAGAGTTGGCTTAAGATAAATAAAAGCCTCAAGGTAGTAATACTCGTTATTTTTGTTAAAACAACCATAAGGATATGATTGAAACTGCCTTTTTAATGGGTCATCACATTCATTTTTAGCATTTAAAAATCCGGTTTTTAGGAGAGCCCGGGTGGTTCAGTCAGTTGAGCATCCGGCTTGGGCTCAGGTCCTGGTCTCACAGTTCGTGAGTTCGAGCCCCGCATCACAGCCGGCTTCTGATCCTCTGTCCCCCTCTCTCTTTGCCCTTCCCTTGCTTGCGCGCTCTCTCTCAAAGATAAGTAAAAACATTTAAAAATTCAATTTTTAGATATCCTGGACCCCATAACACAAAGAGAATGAAAGGGAGTACTACTGTGATTTATTTCCTGGCTCACAGTTGAGATTTAATAACCTATTTGTAGAACCTACATAATTCACATTAGCAAGGAATTCTCTTTCAAACCACAACACCCCCCCCTTCCCCACCCCAAACTAAATGAGAATCCTTTAAATCTAAGTCAAAGCACAGGGCATTTTGTTAGGTGTACGACAAGGGCGCGACCCCAGCGACTCTTGATGTGGAAGTCATGTTTGTATTGATTCCTCCGTATTCTCACAAAAAGACATTAACTTAAGAATTAACTTAACATGAGAGAGGATGACAATTGATTTTTTTTTCTTTCTTTTTTTTTTTAAATAATTGAAGAGTCCTTTAACGTTCTTAAAGTTAGGATGTACTCTAAAGGGAGAAACTGTATGTACCCGCCAGGAAAAAAAAAAAAATGTTCATAGAAAATTTTGGGTAAGAGAATGAATGGATCTTACTTCACAGCCGTCTTGGTGATCTCATCAGTCAACATGTCTCGGACCCTGCAGTAAAGGTTGGAAATAGGTGCAAGAGTTTATGTTAGAATAAGAGCCCAATCTTTTTGCTTATCCATCAGTTAATAAGACCCTCTGGCAATGACCCCAGGCCCTAAAACTGTATGTGTGGAATTGTAGTGTAAGGTGAAAACACTATAATATGAGCTTTATTTCAAAGAGTTTCCTCTGCCTATTCCTTACGTCACTTATCCGAGGCGGGGAAGAAGGTACCTGTAGACACACAGTGTTGTGATGATGTCATCTCTTAAACTGAATGGTGGCTCTGCTAACATTCTTTATATTATATTCTTAAGTGAGGCCTTTGGGAGGTCCTGCGGGTGGACCCCTCATGCATGGGGTTAGTGCCCGTAAGAAGAGACACAGAATGCTTGCTTTCTCTCTCTGCTCCCCAACATGTGAAGACACAAGGAGAAGGGGGACTGCCCGCAAACAAGAAAGCAGGCCCTCACCGGCACAAGACCTCTGACCTCGATTTCTCAGCCTCTAGAAGTGTGAGAGGTAAGTTTCTGTCGCTTAAGTCAGCCATCCAGTCTATGTATTTTAGTTACAGTAGCCCAAACTGATTAAGATATTGTCTCTTTTTATGCAGAAGAGCTCACTAAAACAGCAATTTACTATTTCCAAGTTGTAGATAATGGAATAGTTGCTATGTACGTATGTAAAATACAATTTTAAATGTTGGTTACAAAATCACTCCGAAGTTGAAAGAAAATTCCACTTGTGGATCTGAAGATTGTATACTCAATTCAAATATTCAGAAAAATTTTTTTAATATAAAAGCCCTGAGATATAGAAAAGAACACCCATTGACCGCCAATATTTACATTTTGAAGAAGCAACCACAGATAATTTCACTATATAGAGTTTCATAAACTCAAAATTTTTATAAATACTATAAAACTTCCACAAATATTGGTGGAGATATTGGTGCAGCCTCCCAGCACCCTCTGACACAACTGATTGCTCCTTTCTTGAAATATTTTATTCCCTCGGTGTTCAAGATTCCATTCTCTCTTGGTTTTCTTCCTCCATCACCGTTCACTAATTTTTCGTGTGCTTTGTCGGTTCCCTCTTCATCTACCCCACGTCTAAATGTTGAAGTGTTCTGAAGCTCTTCCCTCTGACCTTTTCTCTATCGCTACTCATTCCTTAGGTGATCTTATCCAGCAATCAGGATTCTAAATACAGCTGATATGCTGATCATTCCCAAATTTCTATTTCTAGCCCTGATCTCACCCCCTAACTCTAGACTCATATCATCAACAACATATCTGATTATCTCCAAAGTGGAGGTTTAATTATATATCTGAGGCTTAGCAAGTTCCAAACCTGATTCTTCCCCTACACAGACCTGCTTTTCTATCGTCGTCTGCATCTTAGTAAAGGGGAAGTCCATACTTTTCGTTATTCACGGTCAAAATCTTGGAGCTATCCTTGACATTCATCTATCACTTTCTTCCTGCTGTCTCTATCTATTTTGGAGAATATAGTCAATATGCGACTATACATTCACCAAATTATCATTTTTAGAAGATGAAAGTCAAACTTTATGCAGAAGATCATCACAAAGAGGAAGTGAAATCCAAAGTCTTAACCTCTAATTTAATTAAATTCAATGTCATAATGTTTTAAGCTGTGTTGCTATTTTTAAAATAAATCTAGAAAATATCACTTAGAATAGAATTATGTAAATATACACACATGCACACGGAGCTCCTGCTTTTCTACATACACCAATTATCAGTAAATAAATCTAAATTCAAGCAAGCTTTGAATAGATTTTTAGATTAAAGAAACCTGTGGCTGCAGGTAAAGCAATTTAGATTCTGGGCACTTTACCTAGATTTAGGCTGCTGCCACATTAATCTGACAAGGTTTTCTTCCTAACCCATGTAACAATTTAAATTGCTTTTAATGTTCCAGCACTTACACATTTCTAGATAATACAGTGGGAATTCACCAGGGGATGTCTGCCAAAGAAATTAAAGCCCTGACGTGGTAAAGTTGCTCCTAATAATGAAGATGTCTTGGGGAGAGGGGGGGAGCATGGGAGCAGAGGGGTATTCCTCGACTAAATGTGAATTAGGAAGACAGTGGATTGAGTGGGGAAAACAGAATCTTTCACTTGAAAGCATATAAAATAATCAGTTATGGGGGGGGGTGGTGGTGAAGGGAAAAGCAAACCATTTCCACGCTGCTGTACAAAACAATTTAAAGAATAATTAAGATTTATGAATAAAACTCTACTTGTGATAGCCAGGGAGAGGGTGGAAAATCCACCTATCAGATTTTTGGCCTCTCCCCCTTCGGGCAGGTAGGTAAGTGACAATTCTCCGCACACGCCTTTAAAGTGGCCACGTTCTCCCTGATCGTTCATTCCGCACGACGAGCACTCGTTCCCAGCAGAAGAGCATCCCCTTACCAGAGCCAGGCTGTGCCTTTTTTGTACTGCACCTCCTCGGGTCCTTCCTTCCCATGTTTCAACTGCAAATCCAGTTCTCCTATTCTGCCCTGCAGGACACACAGCATCAATCAGCATGCAGACCCCGCGGCCAAAATGACCCTGAAATTTCTTTGTAAGACACTGAGAACACACGTAGCCTTTCTCAGTTGGGCTTCGGCGTTCCTAATAAAACGTTAGATTATAAACAAGGATGTGTGAGGAGAGAGAATTCTATCACTGCTTTGGTATTTCAGCGCTCACCAAATAAGTTTATCCTGGAGAAGCTGTGGGTTTGGGAAATTTAGTGCACAGCACTCCATTTGGGAAGATCTATTAAAAGCAGATTTGAATTCCAAAGGTCCTGTTAAAAAAAAAAAATCCCCTTTCTCATAATGTTCTGTGTCCTCAGAGGATAATTTGAACTGACACCGTACCAAGACTGGGGTCTGAGCACCAGTATTATAATAGGATGGTAGAAAAGAAGGGTAATCACATGACACGTAAGAGTCAGGTAATCTACAGGGGCGCCTGGGTAGCTCAGTTGGTTAACTGTCCAACTTCGTCTCAGGTCATGATCTCACAGTCCGTGGGCTCGAACCCCGCATCGGGCTCTGTGCTGACCATGCAGAGCCTGGAGGCTGCTTCGGATTCTGTGTCTCCCTCCTCTCTCTGCCCCTCCCCTGTTCGCGCTCTGTCTCGGTCTCTCAAAAATAAATAAAAATGTTAAACAAATAATTTTTTTTAAAGATTCAGGTAATCTATAACCAAAGCTATTCTTAAACATCTGCGCGTTACATTTTTATTTCTTGAACTTATAAAAATTGGTATGTTCAGCTTCTACACATAATAAAAATGTAGCTACTCTTACCCCTTTAAGACCAAGACCTCCAGATAGTTATTATTCTATTTTCTTTTACACTCAGGATCATTTTGATCAGCTTCTTTCCCCTCTAGTCTATCAACAATTACATTATTTAAATATGCTGAAAATACTGGTTTATTGATGAGCCCTACATTGGACGAGAACTTCCTGTGCTTTGTGTTACTGAGTGATAGCTCCCACGCCATTTTCAAAAGTGGTCGTACAGCTTGCGTTCTCACTAGCAGCAAATAAAAGTTGTAGCTACTCCACATTCTCACCAACAACTGGAATTGTCAGGCTTTGAATTGTTCCCGTTCGGGCAGGTGTGAAACGGTGTTCATTGTGGTTTTAATCTTCACTTCACCGTTTACCAAGGAGATGTGGAAACCTTTGCATACGTTCGTTGACTTTTAGATTTCCTATTGGGTCCATTTTTCTATTGGTTGTCTTTTTCTTACTGATTTTAGAGTTCTAAGGTATGTTTCACAGAAGAAAAGTGTATATCCATATATACCCTACAGAGAAGCAATATTCTGTTTCACAGAAGAAAAGTGTATATCCATATATACCCTAGGGAGAAGCAATATAGCTTGACGAGTAAAGGAGGTAGGTTCTGGAATCAGAATGCCTTGACCTAAAGCCATGTCTACCTGCTTGCTGTATACATTCGGGCAAGTAACTTCACCTCTCTAAACTTCAATTTCCGCATTTGTAAAATGTAGCTAACAACTATCTCTTGGCATTAGAGCATGTTAAATAACGTGCAAAAGTGTCTCTTTCGAATAACTACCATTACCAGGTTTGTTGTTAACAACAACTAAAAAAATCCCACCTCCCTTTATCATCGTCTTATGAAATGATCTTTCATGAATATACATAAACTCTGTTACCACCAGTGCGTGAGCTCACTGAAGGCAAGGACTGTTTGTCAGTCTCAGGGGTCCTTGTACTTAGCACAATATTGGTATTGGCCTCCCAGGGGGATAGGCAAAATAGAAAATCGTATTTATTGCCTGTCTCTGCTAGTTATGCTTCTTAAATTAGCCTCTTTACTCCTAGGAACATTTACTGGCCACAGCGCTTTTCCAAAAAAGATAAGCAGTAGGAAAGGAAAAGGCTAAAATCTGCTTAGAAATAAACTAAAAAACAAAAGAGCTTTGCAGTATCTGCACAGCCTATTGAAAAGACCTGCTTTTCTCTATCTCCGTAGCCATAACCCACTACACCATCGACTGTAACTAAGTAAACTTCGTATTTCTTCTTCCAAAGTCTCTTGCTTCTCTCAACCCCCTCTTCTGGAAGGTCCTTCTCACCCTTTCCACCCAGTCCATGTTATGCTGTTTATTCAGAAGCACTTTGCCCCCTAAGTCTCTGCTTGTCGGTCACTGAGGTGCAGAGGTGAGAGAGCCTGTCACCTCTGCTTCTGTGGTTAAGGGGCAAAACCACTCACCGGGGGGAGAAGACACTGAAATGATCACCTGAATTGAGATTTCGGGATTGCCTGTACATGCTGATTATTTATCGATCCTTCTTGGTTTTTTTTTTGTTTGTTTGTTTTTTGTTTTAATCTTCAGCCTACGTAACCAAGAGCTTGCTGATTACAGTGAGTAATTTCACCTAGCTCCAAACCTACACATTAGAAACAAACATCTCTTACCCATGGTCAGAGAGAAATCTACCCGGGTCACCATTCCTGACCCTCGTTTTGATTTTCAATTATTTCACAGTTAGCTGACCAACTCAGGAAGCAAAAGTCTGCAATCGGCCTGCTTTAGAATTCCTCTCTCTAGTCTGAGGTCATATTCACGAGAGCCCTTTATACAAAGGCTGGAGACCTTAACCAACTCAGCGTCCCACAGGGCATCAAGGGAAAGATGGCTTTAGAGGCCTCCTTCCCAAAACGGACTCTGAACTGTCAATCGCTTGTGTCTACCTATGTTTCCCGACCATAGTGATGTCGTGTGGACCATACTGATACACTTAAAATGCAAAATCCGACGTTCTCGTGGAAAAAAATTAGACGAGGCTGGATGCCGATGCCCATGCAGAAGCCACCTGTGGTGTCCAAATCTCAAACTTACCCCCATCACAATCAAACCCCCAGGAAATAAGGTAGAATGTATCTTCCGGCATATCTCTTAGGCTTAACTGAGTAAAACATGCGCCTCCTCTAAATGATCCTCTGGTTTAATGCTACAAAATATGTTGAGCACCAGATGGAAGTAACTGTAACTCTTGTACAGAAGAAGTACCTCCAGGGCAGAAATTCTTGATATAGACCGGGAGTCTGGCACGGTTGCTCTAATTCTAAGATACTATAGATTCTGTTGAAGTGTGGGGGCCTGTTTCAAAAAACTCAAACACTTAATATGCATCCGTGTGCATGCTGCCTAAAAAGCTTCCCTGTACCTTCAAATCAAACTGAAAAACTTAAAGCCTATACTTTCAGTTTCATTTCTTTGGTCACCTGTTCTCAGTGGAACTGGACGTAACCAGAAATGCAAAGTAGAAGGATCTTTTTTTTTTTAATTAAAAAAAAAAACTGTTTTAACGTTTATTATTGAGAGACAGAAAGAGAGAGACAGAGCATGAGCAGGGGAGGGGCAGAGAGAGGAGACACAGAATCCGAAGCAGGCTCCAGGCTCCAGGCTCGAACTCATAAACTGCGAGATCATGACCTGAGCTGAGGTCGGACACTTAACCGACTGAGCCACCCAGGCACCCCTAAAGTAGAAGGATTTTAAATGATAAACAAGCAGAGAGGCACGCTATCACCCACCACAGGAGAAAGGCAGGATAACTGACGTGCATCCCTAAAAATACTCAGCTGGCTTTTCATGCATAGCCCTATCCTTTAAAATATTACACCAATTTGCATTATTTGTTGTTGCAACTAATGACAGTGCCAGGGAAAGCGCATGCTGCAGTGGAAAAGGCTGAGGCTCGAGGGTCACAGATAAATCCTCGTGTAAGTTTCAGTTCCTTCTCAGGGGCCCAGTGGTTTCTGCCTATGGGGTTTGTACCACTGCCTTGCTTTCCCAGCTAACCCTGCTTTTTCACCTGTAATCCCATCATACATGCGGTTAACAGCACCCACTTCAAAGGGTTTCTGTAAAGATTCATTGAAATAACATGTTAAGTGTTGGACACACACTAGTGACTCAATAAACGGTAGCTCTTATTATAAGAAAAAACCGTTTTCTTTTTTTAAATCAACTGTAAGTCATCTGCATGAGTTACACCATAATCCTGTTCGATTTAGCCTTCCTTATGCCGAGAGCTAAATAAAATTCTCAGTTCATTCTGCGGGAGGAGGAGTTATTCTTGCCTTCTTTCTCTGGGCGCCCGTAGGACTTTGCACATCCTCTGTTAAAGCCTCAGAGATGTTGTACCAACATTGCTGATGGACATGTCAATCTCCCACACTGGCCTGGGAGCTCACTGATAGGAAGGAACGCTTTATTCTCCTTGGTACCCCACGCACCCCGCACAGGGCCTGGCCAAAGGTGCGCCACAAATGTTTACTGAAGGAAAACACTGCAAAATTGCGTAGAGAAAAGGCGATGGGAGAAAAAGTGCCTACTCTGGCCCGCACTCTCACTCTTCTTGAATAAAAACTATAACTGGTTTCAGGGTGTGTATGAGTAACACACAATCCTACACTCACACACCTACTCAAAACTGAGTGCCCAGATGCCACCCAGGACAAAAGAGGCGTGGAAGCCGAGCCGAAGGAGATAGTGGTTCTAAAAGAACATCTTTAAAATGTGGACTCCAGGGGCGCCTGGGTGGCTCAGTCGGTTAAGCGTCCGACTTCAGCTCAGGTCACGATCTCGCGGTCCGTGAGTTCGAGCCCCGCGTCGGGCTCTGGGCTGATGGCTCAGAGCCTGGAGCCTGCTTCCGATTCTGCGTCTTCCTCTCTCTCCGCCCCTCCCCTGTTCATGCGCCCTCTCTGTCTCAAAAATAAATAAACGTTAAAAAAATAATAATAATAAAATGTGGACTCCAGTGTAATTTGGGGAACCATCTAAAACACTGCTGCTCAGAGTGTAGCTGACAGAGTAACTATGTTGAAATTACCTGACAGCTTGTTCAGGTTCCTGGTCCCCTCCTCAGTTCTGATGAATCAGAACTTCTGAAGATGCATCACTGTTTCATACATCTTAGACTCAATAAAATATGTTGCAAATTTTCAATTTGAGAACACCCATGCTAAAATGCTTAATCATTCCTTCCCCATGTCCTTCCCACTCTTCCCCTCTCCATCTTTAAAAAATAATTTTTGGGGGGGGCGCCTGGGTGGCTCAGTCGGTTGAGCTTCTGACTTCAGCTCAGGTCATGATCTCGTGGTCTGTGAGTTCAAGCCCCACATCGGGCTCTGTGCTGATAGCTCAGAGCCTGGAGCCTGCTTCGGATTCTGTGTCTCCCTCTCTCTCTCTCTCTCTGCCCCTCCCCTGCTCAAGCTCTGTCTCTCTCTCTCTATCAAAAATAAATAAACATTAAAAAATTTTTTTTTAAATAAAATTTATTTATTTTTCAGAGAGACAGAGACAGAGTGTGAGCAGGGGAGGGGCAGAGAGAGAGGGAGACACAAATCCGAAGCAGGTTCCAGGCTCTGAGCTGTCAGCACAGAGCCCGACGCGTGGCTCGAACCCACGGACTGTGAGATCATGACCTGAGCTGAAGTCAGACGCTTAACCGACTGAGCCACCCAGGCGCCCCGAAATAAATAAAATCTTTAAAAGGGTCAGGGGGGTCTAAGATAGCACAGTGGAGGGGCATGTAATCCAGTTTTGGAGGGGTGGGCCTCATAGATGCCATCTTAGATAAAGTGATCTAAAGAATAAGTAGAAATCAGGTGGGCATTGAGGGAATGGCAGTTCCTGTTACAGAAGGAACAGTGTGTAAAAGTCAAGAGGTTAGGGTAGACGTGCTGGGTTTGGGAAACAAAGAGGTTTAGCAAGGCTGAAACTCCAAATTCAGGGGAAGGGTTAAGAGATAAGGCTGGAGTTGTAAACGAGGCCAGCCCGAGGAGGCACAGGAACAAGGGAGACAATGAACTCCGTCTGGGACACGCTTACGTCAAGGTGCTATGGGACAGCCACGGGGGTCACCTGGGCCATCTAGGAGATCTCCGAAAGCAGCAGGATGGAGGAGAGGAGCACCCGAGAGGGAGCTCCGGACAGGCCACAGGGGGAAGACATCAAAATTTAAGCCTGACGTGCAGCTGGGGGCCCGAGGGGCTCAGTCGGTGAAGTGTGTGTGACTCGTGACTTCGGCTCGGGCCATGAGCTCACGGTTCGTGAGATGGAGCCCCCATCGGGCTCCGTGCTGAGTGTGGGGTCTGCTTGGGATTCTCTCTCCCTCCCTCTCCCCCACTTGCTTTCTGTCTCCCTCTCTCAAAGTCAACATTTGAAAAAACCAGGTGCCATTATGTACATAACTCACATTCTTTTACGAGCAAAAATAAGCACTGCGTTGTCCTAAGGGCTTTTGCATTAAATACGTGTTGGCAGTGAAATGTGAGATACAAAGGAGACACTCGCTATGGCAAAGGATCCTACGGTCCCCTTACCTGTAAAATGGCATGGTAGGCTCGACTCATATACGCAAGCCAGGCCTGTGGCAGGAAAATCGCACGGTGCCACTCAGAAAGCTGGATGTGAACCTGCGGGGGAAAAACACACCGCCACGTAAGTTAGACTATGCGGTATGAAAGCAGAATGAAATTCTTCCCTTCCCCTTGTTTAAATGATTTAGATCCTAAAAACAAACCGAATGAGTCTAGGATCAGAACCACAAATAAAATCTTTTGGCTGTTTTCAAAGGAGAAGGGTTTCGAGCCCTGTAAAGACAAAATAAAAGCAGCCTGGAATTTTCTAAATTAAAGCAAGGAGAATTCTACAACAGTAACAAGTCAGGACGCATGCGTAATACAAACGTGTCCCTGAAAGTTAGGGGGAAACCCTGCGAAGCCTCTTGCCAGCGTCAGGAAACCAGGTATCGTCTAGCCAATCCCCCCCCCCCCCCCCCGACCATTTTTAATGAAAAGAAATATTGCTCACATCCCGGATTTCCAATAGGACAGTTTCGGAAGTAATGACCTGAAAGGGGCGACGGAAACATCATGCGTAGAAACCACGACAGCAAGAGGTGCAAACGGACAAGTGCACGGGGCAAACGGGCACACCGCTAGACCGGCACCCTTTCATCAGGGTGGGTGAACAAGAGAAAGAGGGTATGTGCCAACACGGAAGCCTGGTTTCTGAAGAGAGGCCCAGACAAAACATCGCGTTTTCATAGTCATTTCTGTTTCTCCCCATTAGTACAAGGCTATCCTGCAACAAATCTTCCCAAGGCCTGCTTCTGTTAAAGGAAGATCGCTCAAGAACAACAATCAGCGTGCATCGCGTTTCACATTTCCTGTAGCTCATCTCATCCGAACCCAAACACCTGAAACGTCAGCATGGGTCCCAAAGACCAAAGACGATGACAAACAACCAGGCAGACGACTGTCCACAGAATTGCCCCAGAATCATGATAACTGGGAGTGTGTTAAGGAGATTTTGCTGTATTAGAGGAATTAATTTTCTCAAGGGCTTTGTGATAGGGAAGTGAAGAGCCTCTCTGAATACAGCTCGTCCCCAGGGCCTCTGGTATTTTCTGTAATCCCAGTCTTAGTGCGGGCCTACTATACACAAGCTACTACGAAAGGGCTCTGAGGACTATCTTTTTTTTTTTTTTAATTTTTTTTTTTAATGTTTATTCATTTTTGAGGCAGGGCATGAGTGGGGGGGGGGAGAGAGAGAGAGAGAGAGAGAGAGAGAGAGAGAGAGAGAGAGACAGCATCTGAAGCAGGCTCTAGGCTCTGAGCTGTCAGCAAAGAGCCTGACGCAGGGCTCAAACTCACAGACCACGACATCTATCATGACCTGAGTGGAGGTCGGACACTTAACCGACGGAGCCACCCAGGTGGCCCAAGGCTAGGATTATCAACCGATCTATGTCTGCAGAGATCTTTCTAGCGGGAGAGTCAAAAATGGGCACAGTCAGGTTATAAGGCCAAAGTATGAGGAACCCACGAGAATGAGAAGAACAAAGAACATTAACTCTGTCTGCTGTCACTTCTCATTCCACCACGGTTTAAAAAAAATTCTTTTTGATATTCAGACAGTATGAAAAAGATACAACATGAAATGAACTTAAAAAAAAAAAATGGTAAAGACAGGTTTCTTCTTTTTCTGATTAAGTACTCACTGCATCGAGTAGGGTAGGGGGAGCCGGGTCACTATGTCAACAAAAATCCTTGAAGGGGCAGGCCCAGGGATTCTTGCTCCCTCTCTTGTTATCCAGGAAGGAGACTACAACCTAGGCCGCATTTCCAGCTGGAGAGGCATTAATCAGTCCTTGGCCCTGCTCCCTTGTTTCCAAAACGTGGGGAATTTTCCTATCGATTCCATTTCCATTTCATAAAGTACATTAACTATCAAGTCCTATTTTGAGACCCGGATTTAACAGAGAGAACGCTCAAACACCGCGTTTCTCTTCTCTCAGAGCCTCAAAATAGTTCAGTATTTTCCTGCCAAAGAATCCATGGACATCACTGCACTACTGAGAATATCCACGGTCTCAGCAAATTGCCAAAAAGAGCACTGGATGTTTCTGGAAGGACAACGGTCGCAATTGCTTCTCAAACCTGAGTTAAAAAAGGGAAGTATTATGGGGAAAAAATGTGAAGGAAAATGAGCAAATCAAACGTTGAGCTTCTAAGGGCAAAAGCATTCATGCCCGGAAACCTGTTTAAAAGGAGGTTAGAAACTGAAGGTGAAAGCCAGTACTCCAGCTGCCACTCCAACCACATCTGAAGGTGGGTGCGGGGACACAGCAGAAAGCGTGAGCCCACACCCCAGCCTGAACTACTCATGTTTTATGAGATTATACGTAGTCTCGGGGTTCTCTGGAGTCAGCCGTGAATAAATCTCCTTAAACATGCACTCTCTTGCTCTTTCCCTTACTCAAGAGAAACTTAGGGAAACAGTTTAAAGTGAGTCGTGCTCTTACACGCCGGTCGTGTCACACGCAAAAGAGACTTCCTTGACCATTTTTAACAAAAACACATTTTAGGAGGCTACTCTAATTCAATGTATAGCCACCCAGGTTATTGATGCTCGGCTGAAAAATACAATTAGCATTTCTAAAGTATGAAAAGTATGTCTAATTTGCTATACTTTGAGAAGTCTCTGAAGGAAATCCAATCGACAAAATTAACCGCAAATCATGAACTTGCAACCTCATCATGCGGCGGAGGGTAAAGCAGGGCTCTCAACCACGTGCGCCAAGTTGCAATGGATGTGAAATTTACTTTTGCTTTAACTACGTATACCCGTGCAATGACAGGTGTCTGATGGGACTGTTGACACGAGTTCTATGATCTGGAGATGACTAAGAGTTTCTAGGTGGAAGAGGTAGTAAGTATAATGAAACGTTACGCTTGTGCCTAAAAAGAGACCACGTTAGAGAAACAGACACAAGTAGGGAACGGGGGAGGACACTGGGGTGAGGGCAGGGACGGGAGCACATTACAGGACTAAATATAAATCGGGTTGTCAGGGTAGACCTCGCTGAGAAGGTGAAGCCTGAATGAAGACCTGAATGCAATGAAGATACAAACACCCAGATAAGGCGGCGCCTACTCGGTGGGCTCAGCATTTGACTCAATTTTGGCTTGAGTCATGATCCCAGGGTCATGGGATCGAGCCCCGTGTCAGACTCTGTGCTAAGCATGGACCCTGCTTATGACTCTCTCACTCTCTCTCTCTCTCTCATGCTCTTTCTCTCTCTTAAAAAAAAAAAAAAAAAAAAAAAAAGGAAAAACCCAGGTAAGTGTTGATGGGAATGTAAAACAGTTCAGTTATTATGGAAAACAGGTCATTCCTCCAGAAAGTCAAACATAGAATTACCCTTTGACCCAGCAATTCCAATCCTACGTATATACCCAAAAGAATCGAAACCATGTATTCAAGCAAACACTGCACACGAATGTGCATGACAGCACTTTCACAATTGGCCAAAAGGTGGAAAGAACCCACACGTTCAATGAATGAATGAATGAATGAATGAATGAAATGTATCTACAATGGAATATTCAGCCATAAAAAGGAATGGCATACAGATGCACGCTAGAACGTAGATGAACTGTGAAAACATTTACGTGAAAGAGAAAGAAGCCAGACACAAAGGTCGCATGCTATATGATTCTATTTATAGGATATGTCCAGAGTAGGTCATCCCTACAGACAGAAAGCAAATTAGTGGTTGTCAGGGGAGGGGAAGAGAGAGGGGAAGGGAAGAAGGGAGGGAGAAATGGGAAGTGAGAGTTTGATACACACAGGGTCTCACTGGAGGGGGATGAAAATGTTCTGGAACTAGCTAGAGGTGATGGTTTGCACACCGTGACTACACTAAATACCAATGCGTTAAGCTTTGAAGGTGTTAGTTTTACGTTATGTGAATTTAACCCCGATTGAAAACACACAAACACACAAGATAAGGCAAAAGTCCTACGGCAAGCCCATGGCTAACCTGTCTGAGGAACACATAGAAGGCCAGTGTAACCAACCAACCAACCAACCATCACAGACAGAGTGAGAGAGAGAGAAGGTCGGCAAATTAACAGGGCACTCAGGGAATGCAGGGAAGTGACTTCGAGGTCACGTTCCAGGACTTGTGTTAGTATTCTTAGGAAAGGGGGAGCCATTACAAGGTTTTGGGAAGAACGACATGACATAGTGAATAGTGTAGAAGATCATGGTGACTGCTACGTTGAGAACAGGCTGTAGGGGGCAAAGGTCAGAGCAGAGACACATCCTCGCAGGCTGCTGCAACCATCCGGGTACGAGAGAACCATGGCTCAGAGGTGTGTCCGCAACCTGCAGGATACTAGGTTTCGAATATTTACCTATATAATTCTTCCACTCACCCCAAACGCTCAGTAAAATGCCAAGACATAAAACAGAAAATAGGTAAGACTTGTCTCAGTGAAGTGAGGAGGAAGGCTTGGGGGGCTTGGTGTTCAGCCCTCTTGCTCATTAGATGCGACTGGTAAAGGTCCCTGAGATGCCTGAAAACACAGCTTTAACTAGAAGGACATAAAATAGATCAGTGGTTGTCAGGAGAAGGTGGGGAGGAAAGGGACTGACTACCAAGGAGCATGGGGGAATTTTTAGGGTGACAGAACTGCTCTTCTTTTGACTGTGGTACCGGTTCCATGAACATGTGCACTTGTAAAAATCCATACAACTGTGTACTAAGAGACGAGAAATCTACCATATGTATATTATGCCTCAACACACACGCAAGATTAAAGATACATAGTTTGAAAGTCGCTACTTTCAGATTGTAGTACTTCTCAAACCCTCTCCTCCCACCATCTATGACACTCTGTACACTTGCCATCAGCATTGCAAAACCACTCTTCCTTTTACCGTTCGTGTTTCTGTCAATACCACCCGCCAATATCCCAGTGACCCAGTCACCCAGGTTGGGAACTTCTGACTTATCCCGGACTTCCTTCTTGCCCCCAACTCAACCGTCAACTCCACCACTGAAATGTTTCTTCTATTTTCCCATACCTTCTGCTTCACTGCCTTTTTCCTAATACCTGCCCAG